CATCCCCTTCCTCCCCCCCCCCAAAAAACAAAAAAAAAAAAATTCCATCGCCTATTCATCCCCAGATTCCATCCCCTTCTCCCAGATTCCATCCCCCTTCTCCCAGATTCCATCCCCTTCTCCAGATTCCATCCCCTTCTCCCAGATTCCATCCCCTTCTCCCAGATTCCATCCCCTTCTCCCAGATTCCATCCCCTTCTCCCAGGATTCCATCCCCTTCTCCCATGATTCCATCCCCCTTCTCCCCAGATTCCATCCCCTTCTCCCAGATTCCATCCCCTTCTCCCCAGATTCCATCCCCTTCTCCCAGATTCCATCCCCTTCTCCCAGATTCCATCCCATTCTCCCCATATCCATCCCTTCTCCCAGATGTCCATCCCCTTCTCCCAGGTTCATCCCCTTCTCCCAGATTCCATCCCCTTCTCCCAGATTCCATCCCCTTCTCCCTGATTCCATCCCCTTCTCCAGATTCCATCCCTTCTCCCAGATTCCATCCCCTCTCCCAGATTCCATCCCCTTCTCCAGATTCCATCCCTTTCCTAATTCCATCCCCTTCTCCCAGATTCCATCCCCTTCTCCGAATTCCATCCCCTTCTCCCAGATTCCATCCCCTTCTCCCCGGATTCCATCCCTCTTCTCCCTAGATTCCATCCCTTCTCCCGTATTCCATCCCCTTCTCCCATGATTCCGATCCCTTCTCCAGCTTCCATCCCTTCTGCCCAGATTCCATCCCTTTCTCCCAGATTCCATCCCCTTCTCCCAGATTCCATCCCCTTCTCCCAGATTCCATCCCCTTCTCCCAGATTCCATCCCCTTCTCCCAGATTCCATCCCCTTCTCCCTGATTCCATCCCTTCTCCCAGATTCCATCCCCCTTCTCCCTAGATTCCATCCCCTTCTCCCAGATTCCATCCCCTTCTCCCCAGATTCCATCCCTTCTCTCCCTGATTCCATCCCCTTCTCCCAGATTCCATCCCCTCTCCCAGATTCCATCCCCTTCTCCCAGATTCCATCCCCTTCTCCCAGATTCCATCCCCTTCTCCCAGATTCCATCCCTTCTCCCAGATTCCATCCCCTTCTCCCAGATTCCATCCCCTTCTCCCAGATTCCATCCCCTTCTCCCAGATTCCATCCCCTTCTCCCAATTCCATCCCCTTCTCCCAGATTCCATCCCCTTCTCCCAGATTCCATCCCCTTCTCCCAGATTCCATCACCTTCTCCCAGATTCCATCCCCTTCTCCCAGATTCCATCCCCTTCTCCCTGATTCCATCCCCTTCTCCCAGATTCCATCCCCTTCTCCCAGATTCCATCCCCTTCTCCCAGATTCCATCCCCTTCTCCCAGATTCCATCCCCTTCTCCCAAATTCCATCCCCTTCTCCCAAATTCCATCCCCTTCTCCCTGATTCCATCCCTTCTCCCCGATTCCATCCCCTTCTCCCAATTCCATCCCCTTCTCCCAGATTCCATTCCCTTCTCCAGATTCCATCTCCTTCTCCCAATTCCATCCCCTTCTCCCAGATTCCATCCCCTTCTCCTGATTCCATCCCTTCTCCCAAATTCCATCCCCTTCTCCTTGATTCCATCCCCTTCTCCCCGATTCCATCCCCTTCTCCCTGATTGCATCCCCTTCTCCCAGATTCCATCCCCTTCTCCTAATTTCCATCCCCTCTCCCAGATTCCATCCCCTTCTCCCCGATTCCATCTCCTTCTCCCTCATTCCATCCCCTTCTCCCAGATTCCATCCCCTTCTCCCTGATTCTATCCCCTTCTCCCAGATTCCATCCCCTTCTCCCAGATTCCATCCCCTTCTCCCAGATTCCATCCCCTTCTCCCAGATTCCATCCCCTTCTCCCAGATTCCATCCCCTTCTCCCAGATTCCATCCCCTTCTCCCAGATTCCATCCCCTTCTCCCTGATTCCATCCCCTTCTCCCAGATTCCATCCCCTTCTCCCCGATTCCATCCCCTTCTATCTCATTCCATCCCCTTCTCCCAGATTCCATCCCCTTCTCCCTAATTCTTTCCCCTTCTCCCAGATTCCATCCCCTTCTCCCAGATTCCATCCCCTTCTCCCAGATTCCATCCCCTTCTCCCAGATTCCGTCCCCTTCTCCCAGATTCCATCCCCTTCTCCCAGATTCCATCCCCTTCTCCCACATTCCATGCCCTTCTCCCAGATTCCATTCCCTTCTCCCAGATTCCATCTCCTTCTCCCAAATTCCATTCCCTTCTCCCAGATTCCATCCCCTTCTCCAGATTCCATCCCCTTCTCCCAAATTCCATCCCCTTCTCCCTGATTCCATCCCCTTCTCCCCGATTCCATTCCCTTCTCCCAGATTCCATCTCCTTCTCCCAAATTCCATCCCCTTCTCCCAGATTCCATCCCCTTCTCCTGATTCCATCCCCTTCTCCCAAATTCCATCCCCTTCTCCTTGATTCCATCCCCTTCTCCCCGATTCCATCCCCTTCTCCCTGATTGCATCCCCTTCTCCCAGATTCCATCCCCTTCTCCTAAATTCCATCCCCTTCTCCCAGATTCCATCCCCTTCTCCCCGATTCCATCTCCTTCTCTCTCATTCCATCCCCTTCTCCCAGATTCCATCCCCTTCTCCCTGATTCTATCCCCTTCTCCCAGATTCCATCCCCTTCTCCCAGATTCCATCCCCTTCTCCCACATTCCATCCCCTTCTCCCAGATTCCATCCCCTTCTCCCAGATTCCATCCCCTTCTCCCTGATTCCATCCCCTTCTCCCGGATTCCATCCCCTTCTCCCAGATTCCATCCCCTTCTCCCAGATTCCATCCCCTTCTCCTAGATTCCATCCCTTCTCCCAAATTCCATCCCCTTCTCCCAGATTCCATCCCCTTCTCCCAGAGTCCATCCCCTTCTGGCAGATTCCATCCCCTTCTCCCAGATTCCATTCCCTTCTCCGATATTCCATCTCCTTCTCCCAAATTCCATCCCCTTCTCCTTGATTCCATCCCCTTATCCCCGATTCCATCCCCTTCTCCCTGATTGCATCCCCTTCTCCCAGATTCCATCCCCTTCTCCTAAATTCCATCCCCTTCTCCCAGATTCCATCCCCTTCTCCCCGATTCCATCCCCTTCTCTCTCATTCCATCCCCTTCTCCCAGATTCCATCCCCTTCTCCCAGATTCCATCCCCTTCTCCCAGATTCCATCCCCTTCTCCCAGATTCCATCCCCTTCTCCCAGATTCCATCCCCTTCTCCCTGATTCCATCCCCTTCTCCCACATTCCATGCCCTTCTCCCAGATTCCATTCCCTTCTCCCAGATTCCATCTCCTTCTCCCAGATTCCGTCCCCTTCTCCCAGATTCCATCCCCTTCTCCCAGATTCCATCCCCTTCTCCCACATTCCATGCCCTTCTCCCAGATTCCATTCCCTTCTCCCATATTCCATCTCCTTCTCCCAAATTCCATCCCCTTCTCCCATATTCCATCCCCTTCTCCAGATTCCATCCCCTTCTCCCAAATTCCATCCCCTTCTCCCTGATTCCATCCCCTTCTCCCCGATTCCATCCCCTTCTCCCAGATTCCATCCCCTTCTCCCAGATTCCATTCCCTTCTCCCAGATTCCATCTCTTTCTCCCAAATTCCATCCCCTTCTCCCAGATTCCATCCCCTTCTCCTGATTCCATCCCCTTCTCCCAAATTCCATCCCCTTCTCCTTGATTCCATCCCCTTCTCCCCGATTCCATCCCCTTCTCCCTGATTGCATCCCCTTCTCCCAGATTCCATCCCCTTCTCCTAAATTCCATCCCCTTCTCCCAGATTCCATCCCCTTCTCCCCGATTCCATCTCCTTCTCTCTCATTCCATCCCCTTCTCCCAGATTCCATCCCCTTCTCCCTGATTCTATCCCCTTCTCCCAGATTCCATCCCCTTCTCCCAGATTCCATCCCCTTCTCCCGCATTCCATCCCCTTCTCCCAGATTCCATCCCCTTCTCCCAGATTCCATCCCCTTCTCCCTGATTCCATCCCCTTCTCCCAGATTCCATCCCCTTCTCCCAGATTCCATCCCCTTCTCCCAGATTCCATCCCCTTCTCCTAGATTCCATCCCCTTCTCCCAAATTCCATCCCCTTCTCCCAGATTCCATCCCCTTCTCCCAGAGTCCATCCCCTTCTGCCAGATTCCATCCCTTCTCCCCGATTCCATCACCTTCTCCCAGATTCCATCCCCTTCTCCCAGATTCCATCCCTTTCTCCCAGATTCCATCCCCTTCTCCCAGATTCCATCCCCTTCTCCCAGATTCCATCCCCTTCTCCCAGATTCCATCCCCTTCTCCCAGATTCCATCCCCTTCTCCCAGATTCCATCCCCTTCTCCCTGATTCCATCCCCTTCTCCCGGATTCCATCCCCTTCTCCCAGATTCCATCCCCTTCTCCCAAATTCCATCCCCTTCTCCCAAATTCCATCCCCTTCTCCCTGATTCCATCCCCTTCTCCACGATTCCATCCCCTTCTCCCAAATTCCATCCCCTTCTCCCAGATTCCATTCCCTTCTCCCAGATTCCATCTCCTTCTCCCAAATTCCATCCCCTTCTCCCAGATTCCATCCCCTTCTCCTGATTCCATCCCCTTCTCCCAAATTCCATCCCCTTCTCCTTGATTCCATCCCCTTCTCCCCGATTCCATCCCCTTCTCCCTGATTGCATCCCCTTCTCCCAGATTCCATCCCCTCCTCCTAAATTCCATCCCCTTCTCCCAGATTCCATCCCCTTCTCCCCGATTCCATCTCCTTCTCTCTCATTCCATCCCCTTCTCCCAGATTCCATCCCCTTCTCCCTGATTCTATCCCCTTCTCCCAGATTCCATCCCCTTCTCCCAGATTCCATCCCCTTCTCCCAGATTCCATCCCCTTCTCCCAGATTCTATCTTCTTCTCCCAGATTCCATCCCCTTCTCCCAGATTCCATCCCCTTCTCCCAGATTCCATCCCCTTCTCCCTGATTCCATCCCCTTCTCCCAGATTCCAACCCCTTCTCCCAGATTCCATCCCCTTCTCCCAAATTCCATCCCCTTCTCCTTGATTCCATCCCCTACTCCCCGATTCCATCCCCTTCTCCCTGATTGCATCCCCTTCTCCCAGATTCCATCCCCTTCTCCTAAATTCCATCCCCTTCTCCCAGATTCCATCCCCTTCTCCCCGATTCCATCCCCTTCTGTCTCATTCCATCCCCTTCTCCCAGATTCCATCCCCTTCTCCCTGATTCTATCCCCTTCTCCCATATTCCATCCCCTTCTCCCAGATTCCATCCCCTTCTCCTAGATTCCATCCCCTTCTCCCAGATTCCGTCCCCTTCTCCCAGATTCCATCCCCTTCTCCCTGATTCCATCCCCTTCTCCCAGATTCCATCCCCTTCTCCCCGATTCCATCCCCTTCTCTCTCATTCCATCCCCTTCTCCCAGATTCCATCCCCTTCTCCCTGATTCTATCCCCTTCTCCCAGATTCCATCCCCTTCTCCCAGATTCCATCCCCTTCTCCCAGATTCCATCCCCTTCTCCCAGATTCCGTCCCCTTCTCCCAGATTCCATCCCCTTCTCCCAGATTCCATCCCCTTCTCCCACATTCCATGCCCTTCTCCCAGATTCCATTCCCTTCTCCCATATTCCATCTCCTTCTCCCAAATTCCATCCCCTTCTCCCAGATTCCATCCCCTTCTCCAGATTCCATCCCCTTCTCCCAAATTCCATCCCCTTCTCCCTGATTCCATCCCCTTCTCCCCGATTCTATCCCCTTCTCCCAGATTCCATCCCCTTCTCCCAGATTCCATTCCCTTCTCCCAGATTCCATCTCTTTCTCCCAAATTCCATCCCCTTCTCCCAGATTCCATCCCCTTCTCCTGATTCCATCCCCTTCTCCCAAATTCCATCCCCTTCTCCTTGATTCCATCCCCTTCTCCCCGATTCCATCCCCTTCTCCCTGATTGCATCCCCTTCTCCCAGATTCCATCCCCTTCTCCTAAATTCCATCCCCTTCTCCCAGATTCCATCCCCTTCTCCCCGATTCCATCTCCTTCTCTCTCATTCCATCCCCTTTTCCCAGATTCCATCCCCTTCTCCCTGATTCTATCCCCTTCTCCCAGATTCCATCCCCTTCTCCCAGATTCCATCCCCTTCTCCCACATTCCATCCCCTTCTCCCAGATTCCATCCCCTTCTCCCAGATTCCATCCCCTTCTCCCTGATTCCATCCCCTTCTCCCAGATTCCATCCCCTTCTCCCAGATTCCATCCCCTTCTCCCAGATTCCATCCCCTTCTCCTAGATTCCATCCCCTTCTCCCAAATTCCATCCCCTTCTCCCAGATTCCATCCTCTTCTCCCAGAGTCCATCCCCTTCTGCCAGATTCCATCCCTTCTCCCCGATTCCATCACCTTCTCCCAGATTCCATCCCCTTCTCCCAGATTCCATCCCTTTCTCCCAGATTCCATCCCCTTCTCCCAGATTCCATCCCCTTCTCCCAGATTCCATCCCCTTCTCCCAGATTCCATCCCCTTCTCCCAGATTCCATCCCCTTCTCCCAGATTCCATCCCCTTCTCCCAGATTCCATCCCCTTCTCCCGGATTCCATCCCCTTCTCCCAGATTCCATCCCCTTCTCCCAAATTCCATCCCCTTCTCCCAAATTCCATCCCCTTCTCCCTGATTCCATCCCCTTCTCCACGATTCCATCCCCTTCTCCCAAATTCCATCCCCTTCTCCCAGATTCCATTCCCTTCTCCCAGATTCCATCTCCTTCTCCCAGATTCCATCCCCTTCTCCCAGATTCCATCCCCTTCTCCTGATTCCATCCCCTTCTCCCAAATTCCATCCCCTTCTCCTTGATTCCATCCCCTTCTCCCCGATTCCATCCCCTTCTCCCTGATTGCATCCCCTTCTCCCAGATTCCATCCCCTTCTCCTAAATTCCATCCCCTTCTCCCAGATTCCATCCCCTTCTCCCCGATTCCATCTCCTTCTCTCTCATTCCATCCCCTTCTCCCAGATTCCATCCCCTTCTCCCTGATTCTATCCCCTTCTCCCAGATTCCATCCCCTTCTCCCAGATTCCATCCCCTTCTCCCAGATTCCATCCCCTTCTCCCAGATTCCATCTTCTTCTCCCAGATTCCATCCCCTTCTCCCAGATTCCATCCCCTTCTCCCAGATTCCATCCCCTTCTCCCTGATTCCATCCCCTTCTCCCAGATTCCATCCCCTTCTCCCAGATTCCATCCCCTTCTCCCAAATTCCATCCCCTTCTCCTTGATTCCATCCCCTACTCCCCGATTCCATCCCCTTCTCCCTGATTGCATCCCCTTCTCCCAGATTCCATCCCCTTCTCCTAAATTCCATCCCCTTCTCCCAGATTCCATCCCCTTCTCCCCGATTCCATCCCCTTCTGTCTCATTCCATCCCCTTCTCCCAGATTCCATCCCCTTCTCCCTGATTCTATCCCCTTCTCCCATATTCCATCCCCTTCTCCCAGATTCCATCCCCTTCTCCCAGATTCCATCCCCTTCTCCCAGATTCCGTCCCCTTCTCCCAGATTCCATCCCCTTCTCCCTGATTCCATCCCCTTCTCCCACATTCCATGCCCTTCTCCCAGATTCCATTCCCTTCTCCCAGATTCCATCTCCTTCTCCCAAATTCCATTCCCTTCTCCCAGATTCCATCCTCTTCTCCAGATTCCATCCCCTTCTCCCAAATTCCATCCCCTTCTCCCTGATTCCATCCCCTTCTCCCCGATTCCATCCCCTTCTCCCAGATTCCATCCCCTTCTCCCAGATTCCATTCCCTTCTCCCAGATTCCATCTCCTTCTCCTAAATTCCATCCCCTTCTCCCAGATTCCATCCCCTTCTCCTGATTCCATCCCCTTCTCCCAATTTCCATCCCCTTCTCCTTGATTCCATCCCCTTCTCCCCGATTCCATCCCCTTCTCCCAGATTCCATCCCCTTCTCCCAGATTCCATCCCCTTCTCCCTGATTCCATCCCCTTCTCCCAGATTCCATCCCCTTCTCCCAGATTCCATCATCTTCTCCCAGATTCCATCCCCTTCTCTCTGATTCCATCCCCTTCTCCCAGATTCCATCCCCTTCTCCCAGATTCCATCCCCTTCTCCCAAATTCCATCCCCTTCTCCCTGATTCCATCCCCTTCTCCCTGATTCCATCCCCTTCTCCCAAATTCCCTCCCCTTCTCCTAGATTCCATTCCCTTCTCCCAGATTCCATCTCCTCCCAAATTCCATCCCCTTCTCCGAGATTCCATCCCCTTCTCCTGATTCCATCCCCTTCTCCCAAATTCCATCCCCTTCTCCTTGATTCCATCCCCTTCTCCCCGATTCCATCCCCTTCTCCCTGATTGCATCCCCTTCTCCCAGATTTCATCCCCTTCTCCTAAATTCCATCCCCTTCTCCCAGATTCCATCCCCTTCTCCCCGATTCCATCTCCTTCTCTCTCATTCCATCCCCTTCTCCCAGATTCCATCCCCTTCTCCCTGATTCTATCCCCTTCTCCCAGATTTCATCCCCTTCTCCCAGATTCCATCCCCTTCTCCCAGATTCCATCCCCTTCTCCCAGATTCCATCCCCTTCTCCCGGATTCCTTCCCCTTCTCCCTGATTCCACCCGTTCTCCCAGAATCCATCCCCTTCTCCCAGATTCCATCCCCTTCTCCCTGATTCCATCCCCTTCTCCTAGATTCCATCCCTTTCTCCCAGATTCCATCCCCTTCTCCCAGATTCCATCCCCTTCTCCCAGATTCCATCCCCTTCTCCTAGATTCCATCCCCTTCTCCCAGATTCCATGCCCTTCTCCCATATTCCATTCCCTTCTCCCAGATTCCATCTCCTTCTCCCAAATTCCATCCCCTTCTCCCAGATTCCATCCCCTTCTCTAGATTCCATCCCCTTCTCCCAAATTCCATCCCCTTCTCCCTGATTCCATCCCCTTCTTCCCGATTCCATCCCCTTCTCCCAGATTCCATCCCCTTCTCCAAGATTCCATTCCCTTCTCCCAGATTGCATCTCCTCCCAAATTCCATCCCCTTCTCCCAGATTCCATCCCCTTCTCCTGATTCCATCCCCTTCTCCCATATTCCATCCCCTTCTCCCAGATTCCATCCCCTTCTCCCCGATTCCATCCCCTTCTCCCTGATTGCATCCCCTTCTCCCAGATTCCATCCCCTTCTCCTAAATTCCATCCCCTTCTCCCAGATTCCATCCCCTTCTCCCCGATTCCATCCCCTTCTCTCTCATTCCATCCCCTTCTCCCAGAATCCATCCCCTTCTCCCTGATTCTATCCCCTTCTCCCATATTCCATCCCCTTCTCCCAGATTCCATCCCCTTCTCCTGATTCCATCCCCTTCTCCCAAATTCCATCCCCTTCTCCTTGATTCCATCCCCTTCTCCCAGATTCCATCCCCTTCTCCCAGATTCCATCCCCTTCTCCCAGATTCCATCTTCTTCTCCCAGATTCCATCCCCTTCTCCCAGATTCCATCCCCTTCTCCCAGATTCCATCCCCTTCTCCCTGATTCCATCCCCTTCTCCCAGATTCCATCCCCTTCTCCCAGATTCCATCCCCTTCTCCCAAATTCCATCCCCTTCTCCTTGATTCCATCCCCTACTCCCCGATTCCATCCCCTTCTCCCTGATTGCATCCCCTTCTCCCAGATTCCATCCCCTTCTCCTAAATTCCATCCCCTTCTCCCAGATTCCATCCCCTTCTCCCCGATTCCATCCCCTTCTGTCTCATTCCATCCCCTTCTCCCAGATTCCATCCCCTTCTCCCTGATTCTATCCCCTTCTCCCATATTCCATCCCCTTCTCCCAGATTCCATCCCCTTCTCCCAGATTCCATCCCCTTCTCCCAGATTCCGTCCCCTTCTCCCAGATTCCATCCCCTTCTCCCTGATTCAATCCCCTTCTCCCACATTCCATGCCCTTCTCCCAGATTCCATTCCCTTCTCCCAGATTCCATCTCCTTCTCCCAAATTCCATTCCCTTCTCCCAGATTCCATCCTCTTCTCCAGATTCCATCCCCTTCTCCCAAATTCCATCCCCTTCTCCCTGATTCCATCCCCTTCTCCCCGATTCCATCCCCTTCTCCCAGATTCCATCCCCTTCTCCCAGATTCCATTCCCTTCTCCCAGATTCCATCTCCTTCTCCTAAATTCCATCCCCTTCTCCTAGATTCCATCCCCTTCTCCTGATTCCATCCCCTTCTCCCAATTTCCATCCCCTTCTCCTTGATTCCATCCCCTTCTCCCCGATTCCATCCCCTTCTCCCAGATTCCATCCCCTTCTCCCAGATTCCATCCCCTTCTCCCTGATTCCATCCCCTTCTCCCAGATTCCATCCCCTTCTCCCAGATTCCATCATCTTCTCCCAAATTCCATCCCCTTCTCCCTGATTCCATCCCCTTCTCCCTGATTCCATCCCCTTCTCCCAAATTCCATCCCCTTCTCCTAGATTCCATTCCCTTCTCCCAGATTCCATCTCCTCCCAAATTCCATCCCCTTCTCCCAGATTCCATCCCCTTCTCCTGATTCCATCCCCTTCTCCCAAATTCCATCCCCTTCTCCTTGATTCCATCCCCTTCTCCCCGATTCCATCCCCTTCTCCCTGATTGCATCCCCTTCTCCCAGATTTCATCCCCTTCTCCTAAATTCCATCCCCTTCTCCCAGATTCCATCCCCTTCTCCCCGATTCCATCTCCTTCTCTCTCATTCCATCCCCTTCTCCCAGATTCCATCCCCTTCTCCCTGATTCTATCCCCTTCTCCCAGATTTCATCCCCTTCTCCCAGATTCCATCCCCTTCTCCCAGATTCCATCCTTTTCTCCCAGATTCCATCCCCTTCTCCCGGATTCCTTCCCCTTCTCCCTGATTCCACCCGTTCTCCCAGAATCCATCCCCTTCTCCCAGATTCCATCCCCTTCTCCCTGATTCCATCCCCTTCTCCCAGATTCCATCCCTTTCTCCCAGATTCCATCCCCTTCTCCCAGATTCCATCCCCTTCTCCCAGATTCCATCCCCTTCTCCTAGATTCCATCCCCTTCTCCCAGATTCCATGCCCTTCTCCCATATTCCATTCCCTTCTCCCAGATTCCATCTCCTTCTCCCAAATTCCATCCCCTTCTCCCAGATTCCATCCCCTTCTCTAGATTCCATCCCCTTCTCCCATATTCCATCCCCTTCTCCCTGATTCCATCCCCTTCTTCCCGATTCCATCCCCTTCTCCCAGATTCCATCCCCTTCTCCCAGATTCCATTCCCTTCTCCCAGATTGCATCTCCTCCCAAATTCCATCCCCTTCTCCCAGATTCCATCCCCTTCTCCTGATTCCATCCCCTTCTCCCATATTCCATCCCCTTCTCTTTGATTCCATCCCCTTCTCCCCGATTCCATCCCCTTCTCCCTGATTGCATCCCCTTCTCCCAGATTCCATCCCCTTCTCCTAAATTCCATCCCCTTCTCCCAGATTCCATCCCCTTCTCCCCGATTCCATCCCCTTCTCTCTCATTCCATCCCCTTCTCCCAGAATCCATCCCCTTCTCCCTGATTCTATCCCCTTCTCCCATATTCCATCCCCTTCTCCCTGATTCCATCCCCTTCTCCCAGATTCCATCCCCTTCTCCCAGATTCCATCCCCTTCTCCCAGATTCCATCCCCTTCTCCCAGATTCCATCCCCTTCTCCTAGATTCCATCCCCTTCTCCCAGATTCCATGCCCTTCTCCCATATTCCATTCCCTTCTCCCAGATTCCATCTCCTTCTCCCAAATTCCATCCCCTTCTCCCAGATTCCATCCCCTTCTCTAGATTCCATCCCCTTCTCCCAAATTCCATCCCCTTCTCCCTGATTCCATCCCCTTCTTCCCGATTCCATCCCCTTCTCCCAGATTCCATCCCCTTCTCCCAGATTCCATCCCCTTCTCCTGATTCCATCCCCTTCTCCCATATTCCATCCCCTTCACTTTGATTCCATCCCCTTCTCCCCGATTCCATCCCCTCCTCCCTGATTGCATCCCCTTCTCCCAGATTCCATCCCCTTCTCCTAAATTCCATCCCCTTCTCCCAGATTCCATCCCCTTCTCCCCGATTCCATCCCCTTCTCTCTCATTCCATCCCCTTCTCCCAGATTCCATCCCCTTCTCCCTGATTCTATCCCCTTCTCCCAGATTCCATCCCCTTCTCCCAGATTCCATCCCCTTCTCCCATATTCCATCCCCTTCTCCTAGATTCCATCCCCTTCTCCTAGATTCCATCCCCTTCTCCCAGATTCCATCCCCTTCTCGCAGATTCCATCCCCTTCTCCCAGGGTCCATCCCCTTCTCCCAGATTCCATCCCCTTCTCCCATATTCCATCCCCTTCTCCCAGATTCCATCCCCTTCTCCCAGATTCCACCCACTTCTCCCAGATTCCATCCCCTTCTCCCAGATTCCATCCCCTTCTCCTAGATTCCATCCCCTTCTCCCAGATTCCATCCCCTTCTCCCTGATTCCATCCCCTTCTCCCAGATTCCATCCCCTTCTCCTAGATTCCATCCCCTTCTCCCAGATTCCATCCCCTTCTCCCAAATTCCATCCCCTTCTCCCAGATTCCATCCTCTTCTCCAGATTCCATCCCCTTCTCCCAGATTCCATCCCCTTCTCGCAGATTCCATCCCCTTCTCCCAGGGTCCATCCCCTTCTCCCAGATTCCATCCCCTTCTCCCATATTCCATCCCCTTCTCCCGGATTCCATCCCCTTCTCCCAGATTCCACCCACTTCTCCCAGATTCCATCCCCTTCTCCCAGATTCCATCCCCTTCTCCTAGATTCCATCCCCTTCTCCCAGATTCCATCCCCTTCTCCCTGATTCCATCCCCTTCTCCCAGATTCCATCCCCTTCTCCTAGATTCCATCCCCTTCTCCCAGATTCCATTCCCTTCTCCCAGATTCCATCTCCTTCTCCCAAATTCCATCCCCTTCTCCCAGATTCCATCCCCTTCTCCTGATTCCATCCCCTTCTCCCAAATTCCATCCCCTTCTCCTTGATTCCATTCCCTTCTCCCCGATTCCATCCTCTTCTCCCTGATTGCATCCCCTTCTCCCAGATTCCATTCCCTTCTCCCCGATTCCATCCCCTTCTCCCATATTCCATCCCCTTCTCCCGGATTCCATCCCCTTCTCCCAGATTCCATCTCCTTCTCCCAAATTCCATCCCCTTCTCCCAGATTCCATCCCCTTCTCCTGATTCCATCCCCTTCTCCCAAATTCCATCCCCTTCTCCTTGATTCCATTCCCTTCTCCCCGATTCCATCCCCTTCTCCCTGATTGCATCCCCTTCTCCCAGATTCCATCCCCTTCTCCCAGATTCCATCCCCTTCTCCCTGATTCTATCCCCTTCTCCCAGATTCCATCCCCTTCTCCCAGATTCCATCCCCTTCTCCCAGATTCCATCCCCTTCTCCCAGATTCCATCCCCTTCTCCCAGATTCCATCCCCTTCTCCCACATTCCATCCCGTTCTCCCAGATTCCATGCCCTTCTCCCAGATTCCATGCCCTTCTCCCAGATTCCATCTCCTTCTCCCAAATTCCATCCCCTTCTCCCAGATTCCATCCCCTTCTCCAGATTCCATCCCCTTCTCCCAAGTTCCATCCCCTTCTCCCTGATTCCATCCCCTTCTCCCAGATTCCATCCCCTTCTCCCAGATTCCATCCCCTTCTCCCATATTCCATCCCCTTCTCCCGGATTCCATCCCCTTCTCCCAGATTCCATGCCCTTCTCCCATATTCCATTCCCTTCTCCTAGATTCCATCTCCTTCTCCCAAATTCCATCCCCTTCTCCCAGATTCCATCCCCTTCTCTAGATTCCATCCCCTTCTCCCAAATTCCATCCCCTTCTCCCTGATTCCATCCCCTTCTTCCCGATTCCATCCCCTTCTCCCAGATTCCATCCCCTTCTCCCAGATTCCATCCCCTTCTCCTGATTCCATCCCCTTCTCCCATATTCCATCCCCTTCACTTTGATTCCATCCCCTTCTCCCCGATTCCATCCCCTCCTCCCTGATTGCATCCCCTTCTCCCAGATTCCATCCCCTTCTCCTAAATTCCATCCCCTTCTCCCAGATTCCATCCCCTTCTCCCCGATTCCATCCCCTTCTCTCTCATTCCATCCCCTTCTCCCAGATTCCATCCCCTTCTCCCTGATTCTATCCCCTTCTCCCAGATTCCATCCCCTTCTCCCAGATTCCATCCCCTTCTCCCAGATTCCATCCGCTTCTCCCAGATTCCATCCCCTTCTCCCAGATTCCATCCCCTTCTCCCAGATTCCATCCCCTTCTCCCACATTCCATGCCCTTCTCCCAGATTCCATTCTGTTCTCCTAGATTCCATCTCCTTCTCCCAAATTCCATCCCCTTCTCCCAGATTCCATCCCCTTCTCCAGATTCCATCCCCTTCTCCCAAATTCCATCCCCTTCTCCCTGATTCCATCCCCTTCTCCCAGATTCCATCCCCTTCTCCCAGATTCCATCCCCTTCTCCCATATTCCATCCCCTTCTCCCGGATTCCATCCCCTTCTCCCAGATTCCACCCACTTCTCCTAGATTCCATCCCCTTCTCCCAGATTCCATCCCCTTCTCGCAGATTCCATCCCCTTCTCCCAGGGTCCATCCCCTTCTCCCAGATTCCATCCCCTTCTCCCATATTCCATCCCCTTCTCCCAGATTCCATCCCCTTCTCCCATATTCCATCCCCTTCTCCTAGATTCCATCCCCTTCTCCTAGATTCCATCCCCTTCTCCCAGATTCCATCCCCTTCTCGCAGATTCCATCCCCTTCTCCCAGGGTCCATCCCCTTCTCCCAGATTCCATCCCCTTCTCCCATATTCCATCCCCTTCTCCCGGATTCCATCCCCTTCTCCCAGATTCCACCCACTTCTCCCAGATTCCATCCCCTTCTCCCAGATTCCATCCCCTTCTCCTAGATTCCATCCCCTTCTCCCAGATTCCATCCCCTTCTCCCTGATTCCATCCCCTTCTCCCAGATTCCATCCCCTTCTCCTAGATTCCATCCCCTTCTCCCAGATTCCATCCCCTTCTCCCAAATTCCATCCCCTTCTCCCAGATTCCATTCCCTTCTCCCAGATTCCATCTCCTTCTCCCAAATTCTATCCCCTTCTCCCAGATTCCATCCCCTTCTCCTGATTCCATCCCCTTCTCCCAAATTCCATCCCCTTCTCCTTGATTCCATTCCCTTCTCCCCGATTCCATCCCCTTCTCCCTGATTGCATCCCCTTCTCCCAGATTCCATTCCCTTCTCCCCGATTCCATCCCCTTCTCCCAGATTCCATCCCCTTCTCCCAGATTCCATTCCCTTCTCCCAGATTCCATCTCCTTCTCCCAAATTCCATCCCCTTCTCCCAGATTCCATCCCCTTCTCCTGATTCCATCCCCTTCTCCCAAATTCCATCCCCTTCTCCTTGATTCCATTCCCTTCTCCCCGATTCCATCCCCTTCTCCCTGATTGCATCCCCTTCTCCTGGATTCCATCCCCTTCTCCCAGATTCCATCCCCTTCTCCCTGATTCTATCCCCTTCTCCCAGATTCCATCCCCTTCTCCCAGATTCCATCCCCTTCTCCCAGATTCCATCCCCTTCTCCCAGATTCCATCCCCTTCTCCCAGATTCCATCCCCTTCTCCCACATTCCATCCCGTTCTCCCAGATTCCATGCCCTTCTCCCAGATTCCATGCCCTTCTCCCAGATTCCATCTCCTTCTCCCAAATTCCATCCCCTTCTCCCAGATTCCATCCCCTTCTCCAGATTCCATCCCCTTCTCCCAAGTTCCATCCCCTTCTCCCTGATTCCATCCCCTTCTCCCAGATTCCATCCCCTTCTCCCAGATTCCATCCCCTTCTCCCATATTCCATCCCCTTCTCCCGGATTCCATCCCCTTCTCCCAGATTCCAACCCCTTCTCCCAGATTCCATCCCCTTCTCCCAGATTCCATCCCCTTCTCCCAGATTCCATCCCCTTCTCCTAGATTCCATCCCCTTCTCCCAGATTCCATCCCCTTCTCCCATATTCCATCTTCTTCTCCCGGATTCCATCCCCTTCTCCCAGATTCCACCCACTTCTCCCAGATTCCATCCCCTTCTCCCAGATTCCATCCCCTTCTCCTAGATTCCATCCCTTTCTCCCAGATTCCATCCCCTTCTCCCTGATTCCATCCCCTTCTCCCAGATTCCATCCCCTTCTCCCAGATTCCATCCCCTTCTCCTAAATTCCATCCCCTTCTCCCAGATTCCATCCCCTTCTCCCCGATTCCATCCCCTTCTCTCTCATTCCATCCCCTTCTCCCAGATTCCATCCCCTTCTCCCTGATTCTATCCCCTTCTCCCAGATTCCATCCCCTTCTCCCAGATTCCATCCCCTTCTCCCAGATTCCATCCGCTTCTCCCAGATTCCATCCCCTTCTCCCAGATTCCATCCCCTTCTCCCAGATTCCATCCCCTTCTCCCACATTCCATGCCCTTCTCCCAGATTCCATTCCCTTCTCCCAGATTCCATCTCCTTCTCCCAAATTCCATCCCCTTCTCCCAGATTCCATCCCCTTCTCTAGATTCCATCCCCTTCTCCCAAATTCCATCCCCTTCTCCCTGATTCCATCCCCTTCTCCCAGATTCCATCCCCTTCTCCCAGATTCCATCCCCTTCTCCCGGATTCCATCCCCTTCTCCCAGATTCCACCCACTTCTCCTAGATTCCATCCCCTTCTCCCAGATTCCATCCCCTTCTCGCAGATTCCATCCCCTTCTCCCAGGGTCCATCCCCTTCTCCCAGATTCCATCCCCTTCTCCCAGGGTCCATCCCCTTCTCCCAGATTCCATCCCCTTCTCCCATATTCGATCCCCTTCTCCTAGATTCCATCCCCTTCTCCTAGATTCCATCCCCTTCTCCCAGATTCCATCCCCTTCTCGCAGATTCCATCCCCTTCTCCCAGGGTCCATCCCCTTCTCCCAGATTCCATCCCCTTCTCCCATATTCCATCCCCTTCTCCCGGATTCCATCCCCTTCTCCCAGATTCCACCCACTTCTCCCAGATTCCATCCCCTTCTCCCAGATTCCATCCCCTTCTCCTAGATTCCATCCCCTTCTCCCAGATTCCATCCCCTTCTCCCTGATTCCATCCCCTTCTCCCAGATTCCATCCCTTTCTCCCAGATTCCATCCCCTTCTCCCAGATTCCATCCCCTTCTCCCAGATTCCATCCCCTTCTCCCAAATTCCATCCCCTTCTCCCAAATTCCATCCCCTTCTCCCAGATTCCATCCCCTTCTCCCAGATTTCATCCCCTTCTCCAGGTTCTATCCCCTTCTCCCAAATTCCATCCCCTTCTCCCAGATTCCATCCCCTTCTCCCAGATTCCATCCCCTTATCCCATATTCCATCCCCTTCTCCCAAATTCCATCCCCTTCTCCCAGAATCCATCCCCTTCTCCCAGATTCCATCCCCTTCTCCCAAATTCCATCCCCTTCTCCCTGATTCCATCCGCTTCTCCCCGATTCCATCCCCTTCTCCCAGATTCCATCCCCTTCTCCCATATTCCATCCCCTTCTCCCAGATTCCATCCCCTTCTCCCAAATTCCATCCCCTTCTCCCAGATTCCATCCCCTTCTCCCAGATTCCATCCCCTTCTCCCAGATTCCATCCCCTTCTCCCAGATTCCATCCCCTTCTCCCAGATTCCATCCCCGTCTCCCACATTCCATCCCGTTCTCCCAGATTCCATGCCCTTCTCCCAGATTCCATGCCCTTCTCCCAGATTCCATCTCCTTCTCCCAAATTCCATCCCCTTCTCCCAGATTCCATCCCCTTCTCCAGATTCCATCCCCTTCTCCCAAGTTCCATCCCCTTCTCCCTGATTCCATCCCCTTCTCCCAGATTCCATCCCCTTCTCCCAGATTCCATCCCCTTCTCCCATATTCCATCCCCTTCTCCCGGATTCCATCCCCTTCTCCCAGATTCCACCCCCTTCTCCCAGATTCCATCCCCTTCTTCCAGATTCCATCCCCTTCTCCCAGATTCCATCCCCTTCTCCTAGATTCCATCCCCTTCTCCCAAATTCCATCCCCTTCTCGCAGATTCCATCCCCTTCTCCCAGGGTCCATCCCCTTCTCCCAGATTCCATCCCCTTCTCCCATATTCCATCTTCTTCTCCCGGATTCCATCCCCTTCTCCCAGATTCCACCCACTTCTCCCAGATTCCATCCCCTTCTCCCAGATTCCATCCCCTTCTCCTAGATTCCATCCCTTTCTCCCAGATTCCATCCCCTTCTCCCTGATTCCATCCCCTTCTCCCAGATTCCATCCCCTTCTCCTAGATTCCATCCCCTTCTCCCAGATTCCATCCCCTTCTCCCAAATTCCATCCCCTTCTCCCAGATTCCATCCCCTTCTCCAGATTCCATCCCCTTCTCCCAGATTCCATCCCCTTCTCACAGATTCCATCCCCTTCTCCCAGATTCCATCCCCTTCTCCCAGATTCCATTCCCTTCTCCCAGATTCCATCCCCTTCTCCCCGATTCCATCCCCTTCTCCCAAATTCCATCCCCTTCTCCCAGATTCCATCCCCTTCTCCTGATTCCATCCCTTCTCCCAGATTCCACCCCCTTCTCCCAGATTCCATCCCCTTCTCCCAGATTCCATCCCCTTCTCCCAGATTCCATCCCCTTCTCCTAGATTCCTTCCCCTTCTCCCAGATTCCACCCGTTCTCCCAGAATCCATCCCCTTCTCCCAGATTCCATCCCCTTCTCCCTGATTCCATCCCCTTCTCCCCGATTCCATCCCCTTCTCCCAGATTCCATCCCCTTCTCCCTCATTCCATCCCCTTCTCCCAGATTCCATCCCCTTCTCCCAAATTGCATCCCTTCTCCCTGATTCCATCCCCTTCTCCCAAATTCCATCCCCTTCTCCCAGATTCCATCCCCTTCTCCCAGATTCCATCCCCTTCTCGCAGATTCCATCCCCTTCTCCCAGGGTCCATCCCCTTCTCCCAGATTCCATCCCCTTCTCCCATATTCCATCTTCTTCTCCCGGATTCCATCCCCTTCTCCCAGATTCCACCCACTTCTCCCTGATTCCATCCCCTTCTCCCAGATTCCATCCCCTTCTCCTAGATTCCATCCCTTTCTCCCAGATTCCATCCCCTTCTCCCTGATTCCATCCCCTTCTCCCAGATTCCATCCCCTTCTCCAAGATTCCATCCCCTTCTCCCCGATTCCATCCCCTTCTCCCAGATTCCATCCCCTTCTCCCAGATTCCATTCCCTTCTCCTAGATTCCATCCCCTTCTCCCCGATTCCACCCCCTTCTCCCAAATTCCATCCCCTTCTCCCAGATTCCATCCCCTTCTCCTGATTCCATCCCTTCTCCCAGATTCCACCCCCTTCTCCCAGATTCCATCCCCTTCTCCCAGATTCCATCCCCTTCTCCCAGATTCCATCCCCTTCTCCTAGATTCCTTCCCCTTCTCCCAGATTCCACCCGTTCTCCCAGAATCCGTCCCCTTCTCCCAGATTCCATCCCCTTCTCCCTGATTCCATCCCCTTCTCCCCGATTCCATCCCCTTCTCCCAGATTCCATCCCCTTCTCCCTGATTCCATCCCCTTCTCCCAGATTCCATCCCCTTCTCCTAAATTCCATCCCTTCTCCCTGATTCCATCCCCTTCTCCCAGATTCCATCCCCTTCTCCCAGATTCCATCCCCTTCTCCCAGATTCCATCCCCTTCTCCAGATTCTATCCCCTTCTCCCAAATTCCATCCCCTTCTCCCAGATTCCATCCCCTTCTCCCAGATTCCATCCCCTTATCCCAGATTCCATCCCCTTCTCCCAAATTCCATCCCTTCTCCCTGATTCCATCCCCTTCTCCCAGATTCCATCCCCTTCTCCCAGATTCCATCCCCTTCTCCCAGATTCCATCCCCTTCTCCAGATTCTATCCCCTTCTCCCAAATTCCATCCCCTTCTCCCAGAATCCATCCCCTTCTCCCAGATTCCATCCCCTTCTCCCAAATTCCATCCCCTTCTCCCTGATTCCATCCGCTTCTCCCCGATTCCATCCCCTTCTCCCAGATTCCATCCCCTTCTCCCAGATTTCATCCCCTTCTCCCAAATTCCATCCCTTCTCCCTGATTCCATACCCTTCTCCCAGATTCCATCCCCTTCTCACACATTCCATCCCCTTCTCCCAGATTCCATCCCCTTCTCCCAGATTCCATCCCCTTCTCCCTGATTCCATCCCCTTCTCCCAGATTCCATCCCCTTCTCCCAGATTCCATCCCCTTCTCCCAGATTCCATCCCCTTCTCCCAGATTCCATCCCCTTCTCCCAAATTCCATCCCCTTCTCCCAAATTCCATCCCCTTCTCCCAGATTCCATCCCCTTCTCCCAGATTTCATCCCCTTCTCCAGGTTCTATCCCCTTCTCCCAAATTCCATCCCCTTCTCCCAGATTCCATCCCCTTCTCCCAGATTCCATCCCCTTATCCCATATTCCATCCCCTTCTCCCAAATTCCATCCCCTTCTCCCAGAATCCATCCCCTTCTCCCAGATTCCATCCCCTTCTCCCAAATTCCATCCCCTTCTCCCTGATTCCATCCGCTTCTCCCCGATTCCATCCCCTTCTCCCAGATTCCATCCCCTTCTCCCAGATTCCATCCCCTTCTCCCAGATTCCATCCCCTTCTCCCAAATTCCATCCCCTTCTCCCAGATTCCATCCCCTTCTCCCAGATTCCATCCCCTTCTGCAAGATTCCATCCCTTCTCCCCGATTCCATCACCTTCTCCCAGATTCCATCCCCTTCTCCCAGATTCCATCCCCTTCTCCCAGATTCCATCCCCTTCTCCCTGATTCCATCCCCTTCTCCCAGATTCCATCCCCTTCTCCCTGATTCCATCCCCTTCTCCCAGATTCCATCCCCTTCTCCCAGATTCCATCCCCTTCTCCCAGATTCCATGCCCTTCTCTCATATTCCATTCCCTTCTCCCAGATTCCATCTCCTTCTCCCAAATTCCATCCCCTTCTCCCAGATTCCATCCCCTTCTCTAGATTCCATCCCCTTCTCCCAAATTCCATCCCCTTCTCCCTGATTCCATCCCCTTCTTCCCGATTCCATCCCCTTCTCCCAGATTCCATCCCCTTCTCCCAGATTCCATTCCCTTCTCCCAGATTGCATCTCCTCCCAAATTCCATCCCCTTCTCCCAGATTCCATCCCCTTCTCCTGATTCCATCCCCTTCTCCCAAATTCCATCCCCTTCTCCTTGATTCCATCCCCTTCTCCCCGATTCCATCCCCTTCTCCCTGATTGCATCCCCTTCTCCCAGATTCCATCCCCTTCTCCTAAATTCCATCCCCTTCTCCCAGATTCCATCCCCTTCTCCCCGATTCCATCCCCTTCTCTCTCATTCCATCCCCTTCTCCCAGATTCCATCCCCTTCTCCCAGATTCCATCCCCTTCTTCCAGATTCCATCCCCTTCTCCCAGATTCCATCCCCTTCTCCCAGATTCCATCCCCTTCTCCCAGATTCCCTCCCCTTCTCCCAGATTCCATCCCCTTCTCCTATATTCCATCCTCTTCTCCCAGATTCCTTCCCTTTCTCCCTGATTCCATCCCCTTCTCCCATATTACATCCCCTTCTCCCAGATTCCATCCCCTTCTCCCAGATTCCATCCCCTTCTCCAGATTCTATCCCCTTCTCCCAAATTCCATCCCCTTCTCCTGGATTCCATCCCCTTCTCCCAGATTCCATCCCCTTATCCCAGATTCCATCCCCTTCTCCCAAATTCCATCCCCTTCTCCCAGATTCCATCCCCTTCTCCAGATTCCATCCCCTTCTCCCAAATTCCATCCCCTTCTCCCTGATTCCATCCCCTTCTCCCCGATTCCATCCCCTTCTCCCAGATTCCATCCCCTTCTCCCAAATTCCATCCCGTTCTCCCTGATTCCATCCCCTTCTTCCCGATTCCATCCCCTTCTCCCAGATTCCATCCCCTTCTCCTAGATTTCATCCCCTTCTCCCGGATTCCATCCCCTTCTCCCTCATTCCATCCCCTTCTCCCAGATTCCATCCCTTCTCCCAGATTCCATCCCCTTCTCCCAGATTCCATCCCCTTCTCCCTCATTCCATCCCCTTCTCCCAGATTCCATCCCCTTCTCCCAGATTCCATCCCCTTCTCCCAGATTCCATCCCCTTCTCCCAGATTCCATCCCCTTCTCCCAGATTCTATCCCCTTCTCCCAGGTTCCATCCGTTCTCCCTGATTCCATCCCCTTCTCCCTCATTCCATCCCCTTCTCCCAGGTTCCATCCGTTCTCCCAGATTCCATCCCCTTCTCCCTCATTCCATCCCCTTCTCCCAGATTCCATCCCCTTCTCCCAGATTCCATCCCCTTCTCCCAGATTCCATCCCCTTCTCCCAGGTTCCATCCGTTCTCCCTGATTCCATCCCCTTCTCCCAGATTCCATCCCCTTCTCCCAAATTCCATCCGTTCTCCCTGATTCCATCCCCTTCTCCTAGATTCCATCCCCTTCTTCCAGATTCCATCCCCTTCTCCCAGATTCCATCCCCTTCTCCCAGATTCCATCCCCTTCTCCTAGATTTCCTCCCCTTCTCCCAGATTCCATCCCCTTCTCATAGATTCTATCCCCTTCTCCCAGATTCCTTCCCCTTCTCCCTGATTCCATCCCCTTCTCCCATATTACATCCCCTTCTCCCAGATTCCATCCCCTTCTCCCATATTCCATCCCCTTCTCCTAGATTCCATCCCCTTCTCCCAGATTTCATCCCCTTCTCCCAGATTCCATCCCCTTCTCCCTCATTCCATCCCCTTCTTCCAGATTCCATCCCCTTCTCCCAGATTCCATCCCCTTCTCCAAGATTCCATCCCCTTCTCCCATGTTCCATCCCCTTCTCCCAGATTCCATCCCCTTCTCCCAGATTCCATCTCCTTCTCCCAGATTCCATCCCCTTCTCCAAGATTCCATCCTCTTCTCCCAGATTCCATCCCCTTCTCCCAAATTCCATCCCCTTCTCCCAGATTCCATCCCCTTCTCCAGATTCCATCCCCTTCTCCCAGATTCCATCCCCTTCTCCCCGATTCCATCCCCTTCTCCCAGATTCCATCCCCTTCTCCCAGATTCCATTCCCTTCTCCCAGATTCCATCTCCTTCTCCCAAATTCCATCCCCTTCTCCCAGATTCCATCCCCTTCTCCTGATTCCATCCCTTCTCCCAGATTCCACCCCCTTCTCCCAGATTCCATCCCCTTCTCCCAGATTCCATCCCCTTCTCCTAGATTCCTTCCCCTTCTCCCAGATTCCACCCGTTCTCCCAGAATCCATCCCCTTCTCCCAGATTCCATCCCCTTCTCCCTGATTCCATCCCCTTCTCCCAGATTCCATCCCCTTCTCCCAGATTCCATCCCCTTCTCCCTGATTCCATCCCCTTCTCCCAGATTCCATCCCCTTCTCCCAAATTCCATCCCTTCTCCCTGATTCCATCCCCTTCTCCCAGATTCCATCCCCTTCTCCCAGATTCCATCCCCTTCTCCCAGATTCCATCCCCTTCTCCAGATTCTATCCCCTTCTCCCAAATTCCATCCCCTTCTCCCAGATTCCATCCCCTTATCCCAGATTCCATCCCCTTATCCCATATTCCATCCCCTTCTCCCAACATCCCCTTCTCCCAGATTCCATCCCCTTCTCCCAGATTCCATCCCCTTCTCCAGATTCTATCCCCTTCTCCCAAATTCCATCCCCTTCTCCCAGATTCCATCCCCTTCTCCCAGATTCCATCCCCTTCTCCCAGATTCCATCCCCTTCTCCCAAATTCCATCCCCTTCTCCCTGATTCCATCCGCTTCTCCCTGATTCCATCCCCTTCTCCCAGATTCCATCCCCTTCTCCCAGATTTCATCCCCTTCTCCCAAATTCCATCCCTTCTCCCTGATTCCATACCCTTCTCCCAGATTCCATCCCCTTCTCACACATTCCATCCCCTTCTCCCAGATTCCATCCCCTTCTCCCAGATTCCATCCCCTTCTCCCTGATTCCATCCCCTTCTCCCAGATTCCATCCCCTTCTCCCAGATTCCATCCCCTTCTCCCATATTCCATCCCCTTCTCCCAGATTCCATCCCCTTCTCCCAAATTCCATCCCCTTCTCCCAGATTCCATCCCCTTCTCCCAGATTCCATCCCCTTCTGCCAGATTCCATCCCTTCTCCCCGATTCCATCACCTTCTCCCAGATTCCATCCCCTTCTCCCACGTTCCATCCCCTTCTCCCAGATTCCATCCCCTTCTCCCAGATTCCATCCCCTTCTCCCAGATTCCATCCCCTTCTCCCTCATTCCATCCCCTTCTCCCACATTCCATCCCCTTCTCCGAGATTCCATCCCCTTCTTCCAGATTCCATCCCCTTCCCCCAGATTCCATCCCCTTCTCCCAGATTCCATCCCCTTCTCCCAGATTCCATCCCCTTCTTCCAGATTCCATGCCCTTCTCCCATATTCCATTCCCTTCTCCCAGATTCCATCCCCTTCTCCAGATTCTATCCCCTTCTCCCAGATTCCATCCCCTTCTTCCAGATTCCATGCCCTTCTCCCATATTCCATTCCCTTCTCCCAGATTCCATCTCCTTCTCCCAAATTCCATCCCCTTCTCCCAGATTCCATCCCCTTCTCTAGATTCCATCCCCTTCTCCCAAATTCCATCCCCTTCTCCCTGATTCCATCCCCTTCTTCCCGATTCCATCCCCTTCTCCCAGATTCCATCCCCTTCTCCCAGATTCCATTCCCTTCTCCCAGATTGCATCTCCTCCCAAATTCCATCCCCTTCTCCCAGATTCCATCCCCTTCTCCTGATTCCATCCCCTTCTCCCAAATTCCATCCCCTTCTCCTTGATTCCATCCCCTTTTCCCCGATTCCATCCCCTTCTCCCTGATTGCATCCCCTTCTCCCAGATTCCATCCCCTTCTCCTAAATTCCATCCCCTTCTCCCAGATTCCATCCCCTTCTCCCCGATTCCATCCCCTTCTCTCTCATTCCATCCCCTTCTCCCAGATTCCATCCCTTTCTCCCAGATTCCATCCCCTTCTTCCTGATTCCATCCCCTTCTCCCAGATTCCATCCCCTTCTCCCATATTCCATCCCCTTCTCCCAGATTCCCTCCCCTTCTCCCAGATTCCATCCCCTTCTCCTAGATTCCATCCCCTTCTCCCAGATTCCTTCCCTTTCTCCCTGATTCCATCCCCTTCTCCCATATTACATCCCCTTCTCCCAGATTCCATCCCCTTCTCCCAGATTCCATCCCCTTCTCCAGATTCTATCCCCTTCTCCCAAATTCCATCCCCTTCTCCCAGATTCCATCCCCTTCTCCCAGATTCCATCCCCTTATCCCAGATTCCATCCCCTTCTCCCAGATTCCATCCCCTTCTCCCAGATTCCATCCCCTTCTCCAGATTCCATCCCCTTCTCCCAAATTCCATCCCCTTCTCCCTGATTCCATCCCCTTCTCCCCGATTCCATCCCCTTCTCCCAGATTCCATCCCCTTCTCCCAGATTTCATCCCCTTCTCCCGGATTCCATCCCCTTCTTCCTGATTCCATCCCCTTCTCCCAGATTCCATCCCTTCTCCCAGATTCCATCCCCTTCTCCCAGATTACATCCCCTTCTCCCTCATTCCATCCCCTTCTCCCAGATTCCATCCCCTTCTCCCAGATTCCATCCCCTTCTCCCAGATTCCATCCCCTTCTCTCTGGTTCCATCCCCTTCTCCCATATTCCATCCCCTTCTCCCAGATTCCATCCCCTTCTCCCTGATTCCATCCCCTTGTCCTAGATTCCATCCCCTTCTCCCATATTCCATCCCCTTCTCCCAGATTCCACCCCCTTCTCCCAGATTCCATCCCCTTCTCCCAGATTCCATCCCCTTCTCCCATATTCCATCCCCTTCTCCCAAATTCTACCCCCTTCTCCCAGATTCCATCCCCTTCTCCCAGATTCCATCCCCATCTCCCTGATTCCATCCCCTTCTCCCAGATTCCATCCCCTTCTCCCAGATTCCATCCCCTTCTCCCATATTCCATCCCCTTCACCTAGATTCCATCCCCTTCTCCCAGATTCCATCCCCTTCTCCCAGATTCCATCCCCTTCTCCTAGATTCCACCCCCTTCTCCCAGATTCCATCCCCTTCTTCCAGATTCCATCCCCTTCTCCCAGATTCCATCCCCTTCTCCCAGATTCCATCCCCTTCTCCTAGATTCCATCCCCTTCTCTCGGATTCCATACCCTTCTCCCAAATTCCATCCCCTTCTCCCAGATTCCATCCCCTTCTCCCAGATTCCATCCCCTTCTCCCAGATTCCATCCCCTTCCCCCATATTCCATCCCCTTCTCCCAGATTCCATCCCCTTCTCCCAGATTCCATCCCCTTCTCCTGATTCCATACCCTTCTCCCAAATTCCATCCCCTTCTCCCAGATTCCATCCCCTTCTCCCTGATTCCATCCCCTTGTCCCAGATTCCATCCCCTTCTCCCAGATTCCATCCCCTTCTCCCAGATTCCACCCCCTTCTCCCATATTCCATCCCCTTCTCCCAGATTCCATCCCCTTCTCCCAGATTCCATCCCCTTCTCCCAGATTACACCCCTTCTCCCAGATTCCATCCCCTTCTCCCAGATTCCATCCCCATCTCCCTGATTCCATGCCCTTCTCCCAGATTCCATCCCCTTCTCCCAGATTCCATCCCCTTCTCCCATATTCCGTCCCCTTCACCTAGATTCCATCCCCTTCTCCCAGATTCCATCCCCTTCTCCCAGATTCCATCCCCTTCTCCCAGATTCCACCCCCTTCTCCCAGATTCCATCCCCTTCTCCCAGATTCCATCCCCTTCTCCCTGATTCCATCCCCTTCTCCCAGATTCCATCCCCTTCTCCCAGATTCCATCCCCTTCTCCCAGATTCCATCCCCTTCTCCCAGATTCCATCCCCTTCTCCCATATTCCATCCCCTTCTCCCGGATTCCATCCCCTTCTCCCAGATTCCACCCCCTTCTCCCAGATTCCATCCCCTTCTCCCAGATTCCATCCCCTTCTCCCAGATTCCATCCCCTTCTCCTAGATTCCATCCCCTTCTCCCAGATTCCATCCCCTTCTCGCATATTCCATCCCCTTCTCGCAGATTGCATCCCCTTCTCCTAGATTCCATCCCCTTCTCCCAGATTCCATCCCCTTCTCCCAGATTCCATCCCCTTCTCCCAGGTTCCATCCCCTTCTCCCGGATTCCATCCCCTTCTCCCAGATTCTATCCCCTTCTCCAGATTCCATCCCCTTCTCGCAAATTCCATCCCCTTCTCCCAGATTCCACCCACTTCTCCCAGATTCCATCCCCTTCTCCCATATTCCATCCCCTTCTCCCAGATTCCATCCCCTTCTCCCAGATATGGAAGGAGGGAGAATGGGGCGGGGTGATGGAAAGAGGGAGAATGGTGCGGGGTGATGGAAAGCGGGAGAATGGGGCGGGGTGATGAAAAGATGGAGAATGGGGTGGGGTGATGGAAAGCAGGAGAATGGGGCGGGGTGATGGAAAGCGGGAGAATGGGGCGGTGTGATAGAAGGAGGGAGAATGGGGCAGGGTGATGGAAAGCGGGAGAATGGGACCGGGTGATGGAAAGCGGGAGAATGGGGAGGGGTGATGGAAGGATTGAGAATGGGGCGGGGTGATGGAAGGAGGGAGAATGAGGCGGGGTGATGGAAAGCGGGAGAATGGGGCGGGGTGATGGATAGCGGGAGAATCGGGCGGGGTGACAGAAAGCGGGAGAATGGGGCGGGGTGATGGAAAGCGGGAGAATGGGACGGGGTGATGGAAAGCGGAAGAATGGGGCGGGGTGATGGAAAGCGGGAGAATGGGGCGGGGTGATGGAAAGTGGGGGAATGGGACGGGGTGATGGAAAGCGGGAGGATGAGGCGGGGTGATGGAAAGCGGGAGAAAGGGGCGGGGTGATGGAAGGAGGGAAAATAGGGTGGGGTGATGGAAGGAGGGAGAATGGGGCGGGGTGATGGAAAGCGGGAGAATGTGGCGGGGTGATGGAAAGCGGGAGAATGAGGCAGGTGATCAAAGGAGGGAGAATGGGGCGGGTTGATGGAAGGAGGGAGAATGGGACGGAGTGATGGAAGGAGGGAGAATGGGGAGGGGTGATGGAGAGCGGGAGAATGGGACGGGGTGATGGAAAGCGGGAAAACAAGGCGGGGTGATGGAAAGCGGGCGAATGGGGCAGGGTGATGGAAAGCGGGAGAATGGGGCGGGGTGATGGAAAGCGGGAGAATGGGGCGGAGTGATGGAAAGCGGGAGAATGGGGCGGGATGATGGAAAGCGGGAGAATGGGATGGGGTGATGGAGAGCGGGAGAATGGGGCGGGGTGATGGAAAGCGTGAGAATGGGGTGCGGTGATGGAAAGCAGGAGAAGGGGCGGAGTGATGGAAAGCGGGAGAATGGGGCGGGGCTATGGAAAGCGGGAGACTGGGGCGGGGTGAGGGAAAGCGGGAGAATGGGGCGGGGTGATGGAAAGCGGGAGAATGGGGAGGGGTGATGGAAGGAGGGAGAATGGGGTGGGGTGATGGAAGGAGGGAGAATGAGGCGGGGTGATGGAAAGCGGGAGAATGGGGCGGGGTGATGGATAGGGGGAGAATGGGGCAGGGTGATAGAAAGCGGGAGAATGGGGCGGGGTGATGGAAAGCGGGAGAATGGGACGGGGTGATGGAAAGCGGAAGAATGGGGCGGGGTGATGGAAAGCGGGAGAATGGGGCGGGGTGATGGAAAGCGGGGGAATGGGGCGAGGTGATGGAAAGCGGGAGGATGAGGCAGGGTGATGGAAAGCGGGAGAATGGGGCGGGTGATGGAAGGAGGGAAAATAAGGTGGGGTGATGGAAGGAGGGAGAATGGGGCGGGGTGATGGAAAGCGGGAGAATGTGGCGGGGTGATGGAAAGCGGGAGAATGCGACGGGGTGATCAAAGGAGGGAGAATGGGGCGGGTTAATGGAAGGAGGGAGAATGGGACGGGGTGATGGAAGGAGGGAGAATGGGGAGGGGTGATGGAGAGCGGAAGAATGGGATGGGGTGATGGAACGCAGGAGAACGGGGCGGGGTGATGGAAAGCGGGCGAATGGGGCAGGGTGATGGAAAGCGGGAGAATGGGGCGGGGTGATGGAAAGCAGGAGAATGTGGCGGAGTGATGGAAAGCGGGAGAATGGGGCAGGGTGATGGAAAGCGGGAGAATGGGACGGGGTGATGGAAAGCGGGAGAATGGGGCGGGGTGATGGAAAGCGGGAGAATAGGGTGCGGGGATGGAAAGCAGGAGAAGGGGGCGGGGTGATGGAAAGCGAAAGAATGTTGCGGAGCTATGGAAAGCGGGAGACTGGGGCGGGGTGAGGGAAAGCGGGAGAATGGGGCAGGGTGATGGAAAGCGGGAGAATGGGGCGGGGTGATGGAAAGCTGGAGAATGGGGCTGGGTTATGGAAGGAGGGAGAAAGGGGGGGGGGGGGGTGATGGAAGGAGGGAGAATGGGGCGAGGTGATGGAAGGAGGGAGAATGGGGCGAGGTGATGGAAAGCGGGAGAATGGGGCGGGGTGATAGAAAGCGGGAGAATGGGGCGCGGTGATGGAAGGAGGGAGAATGGGGTGGGGTTATGGAAGGAGGGAGAATGGGGCGGGGTGATGGAAAGCGGGAGAATGGGGCGGGGTGATGGAAGGAGGGAGAATGGGGCGGGGTGATTGAACGCGGAAGAATAGGGCAGGGTGATGTAAAGCAGGAGAATGTGGTGGGGTGGTGGAAAGCGGGAGAATGGGGCGGGGTAATGGAAAGCGAGAGAATGGGGCGAGGTGATGGAAAGCGAGAGAATGGGGCGGGGTGATGGAAAGGGGGAGAATGGGGCGCGGTGATGGAAAGCAGGAGAATGGGGCGGGGTGATGGAAAACGGAAGAATGGGGTGGAGTGATGGAAAGCGGGAGAATGGGGAGAGGTGATGGAAAGCGGGAGAATGGGGCGGGGTGATGGAAAGCGGGAGAATGGGGCGGGGTGATGGAAAGCGGGAGAATGGGGCGGAGTGATGGAAAGCGGGAGAATGGGGTGCGGTGATGGAAAGCAGGAGAAGGGGGCGGGGTGATGGAAAACGGGAGAATGGGGCGGGGCTATGGAAAGCGGGAGACTGGGGCGGGGTGAGGGAAAGCGGGAGAATGGGGCGGGGTGATTGAAAGCAGGAGAATGGGGCGGGGTGATGGAAAGGGGGAGAACGGGGCGGGGTGATGGAAAGCGGGAGAATGGGGCGGGGTGATGGAAGGAGGGAGGATGGGGCAGGTTGATGGAAGGAGGGAGAATGGGGCGGGGAGATGGAAAGCGGGAGAATGGGGCGGGGTGATGGAAGGAGGGAGAATGGGGCGGGGTGATGGAAGGAGGGAGAATGGGCCGGGGTGATGTAAATCGAGAGAATGGGGCGGGGTGTTGGGAAGCGGGAGAATGGGGCGGGGTGGTGGAAGGAGGAAGAATGGGGCGGGGTGATGGAAAGCGGAAGAATGGGGCGGAGTGATGGAAAGCGGGAGAATGGGGAGAGGTGATGGAACGCGGGAGAACGGGGCGGGGTGATGGAAAGCGGGAGAATGGGGCGGGGTAATGGAAAGCGAGAGAATGGGGCGAGGTGATGGAAAGTTAGAGAATGGGGCGGGGTGATGGAAAGCGGGAGAATGGGGCGGGGTGATGGAAAGCAGGAGAATGGGGCGGGGTGATGGAAATCGGAAGAATGGGGCGGAGTGATGGAAAGCGGGAGAATGGGGAGAGGTGATGGAAAGCGGGAGAATGGGGTGGGGTGATGGAAAGCGGGAGAATGGGGCGGGGTGATGTAAAGCGGGAGAATGGGGCGGGGTGATGGAAAGCGGGAGAATGGGGTGCGGTGATGGAAAGCAGGAGAAGGGGGTGGGGTGATGGAAAACGGGAGAATGGGGCGGGGCTATGGAAAGCGGGAGACTGGGGCGGGGTGAGGGAAAGCGGGAGAATGGGGCGGGGTGATGGAAAGCGGGAGAATGGGGCGGGGTGATGGAAAGGGGGAGAACGGGGCGGGGTGATGGAAAGCGGGAGAATGGGGCGGGGTGATGGAATGAGGGAGGATGGGGCAGGGTGATGGAAGGAGGGAGAATGGGGCGGGGTGATGGAAAGCGGGAGAATGGGGCGGGGTGATGGAAGGAGGGAGAATGGGGCGGGGTGATGGAAGGAGGGAGAATGGGCCGGGGTGATGTAAATCGAGAGAATGGGGCGGGGTGTTGGGAAGCGGGAGAATGGGGCGGGGTGGTGGAAGGAGGGAGAATGGGGCGGGGTGATGGAAAGCGGGAGAATGGGGCGTGGTGATGGAAAGCGGGAGAATAGGGCGGGGTGATGGAAAGCGGGAGAACGGGGTGGGGTGATGGAAGGAGGGAGAATGGGGCGGGGTGATGGAAAGCGGGAGAATGGGGCGGGGTGATGGAAAACGGGAGAATTGGGCGGGGTGATGGAAAGCGGGAGAATGGGGCTGGGTGATGGAAAGAGGGAGAATGGGGCGGGGTGATGGAAGGAGGGAGCATGGGGCGGGGTGATGGAAAGAGGGAGAATGGGGCGGGGTGATTGAAAGCGGGAGAATGGGGCGAGGTGATGGAAAGCGGGAGAACGGGGCGGGATGATGGAAAGCGGGAGAATGGGGCGGGGTGATGGAAAGCGGGAGAATGGGGCAGGGTGATGGAAAGCGGGAGAATGGGGCGGGGTGATGGAAACGGGAGAATGGGGCGGGGTGATGGAAAGCAGGAGAATGGGGCGTGGTGATGGAAGGAGGGAGAATGGGGCGGGGCGATGGAAAGCGGGAGAATGGGGCGAGGTGATGGAAAGCGGGAGAATGGGGCGGGGTGATGGAAGGAGGGAGGATGGGGCAGGGTGATGGAAGGAGGGAGAATGGGGCGGGGTGATGGAAAGCGGGAGAATGGGGAGGGGTGATGGAAAGCGGGAGAATGGGGCGGGGTGATGGAAGGAGGGAGGATGGGGCAGGGTGATGGAAGGAGGGAGAATGGGGCGGGGTGATGGAAAGCGGGAGAATGGGGCGGGGTGATGGAAGGAGGGAGAATGGGGCAGGGTGATGGAAGGAGGGAGAATGGGGCGAGGTGATGGAAAGCGGGAGAATGGGGCGGGGTGATGGAAGGAGGGAGAATGGGGCGGGGTGATGGAAGGAGGGAGGATGGGGAGGGGTGATGGAAGGAGGGAGAATGGGGCGGGATGATGGAAAGCGGGAGAATGGGGTGCGGTGATGGAAAGCAGGAGAAGGGGGCGGGGTGATGGAAAACGGGAGAATGGGGCGGGGCTATAGAAAGCGGGAGACTGGGGCGGGGTGAGGGAAAGCGGGAGAACGGGGCGGGGTGATGGAAAGCGGGAGAATGGGGCGGGGTGATGGAAAGGGGGAGAACGGGGCGGGGTGATGGAAAGCGGGAGAACGGGGCGGGGTGATGGAAGGAGGGAGGATGGGGCAGGGTGATGGAAGGAGGGAGAATGGGGCGGGGTGATGGAAAGCGGGAGAATGGGGCGGGGTGATGGAAGGAGGGAGAATGGGGCGGGGTGATGGAAGGAGGGAGAATGGGCCAGGGTGAAAATCGGGAGAATGGGGCGGGGTGATGGGAAGCGGAAGAATGGGGCAGGGTGGTGGAAGGAGGGAGAATGGGGCGGGGTGATGGAAAGCGGGAGAATGGGGCGGGGTGATAGAAAGCGGGAGAATGGGGCGGGGTGATGGAAAGCGGGAGAATGGGGCGGGGTGATGGAAGGAGGGAGAATGGGGCGGGGTGATGGAAAGCGGGAGAATGGGGCGGGGTGATGGAAAACGGGAGAATTGGGCGGGGTGATGGAAAGCGGGAGAATGGGGCGGGGTGATGGAAGGAGGGAGAATGGGGCGGGGTGATGGAAGGAGGAAGAATGGGGCGGGGTGATGGAAAGAGGGAGAATGGGGCGGGGTGATTGAAAGCGGGAGAATGGGGCGAGGTGATGGAAAGCGGGAGAACGGGGCGGGGTGATGGAAAGCGGGAGAATGGGGCGGGGTGATGGAAACCGGGAGAATGGGGCAGGGTGATGGAAAGCGGGAGAATGGGGCGGGGTGATGGAAACGGGAGAATGGGGCAGGGTGATGGAAAGCAGGAGAATGGGGCGTGGTGATGGAAGGAGGGAGAATGGGGCGGGGCGATGGAATGCGGGAGAATGGGGCGAGGTGATGGAAAGAGGGAGAATGGGGCGGATTGATGGAAAGCGGGAGAATGGGGCGGGGTGATGGAAGGAGGGAGAATGGGGCGGGGTGATGGAAGGAGGGAGGATGGGGCGGGGTGATGGAAGGAGGGAGAATGGGGCGGGGTGATGGAAAGCGGGAGAATGGGGCAGGGTTATGGAAGGAGGGAGAATGGGGCGGGGTGATGGAAAGCAGGAGAATGGGGCGGGGTGATGGAAAGTAGGAGAATGGGGCGGGGTGATGGAAAGCAAGAGAATGGGGCAGGGTTATGGAAGGAGGGAGAATGGGGCTGGGTGATGAAAGGAGGGAGAATGGGGCGGGGTGATGGAAAGCGGGAGAATGGGGCAGGGTGATGGAAAGCGGGAGAATGGGGCGGGGTGATGGAAAGCGGGAGAATTGGGCGGGGTGATGGAAGGAGGGAGAATGGGGCGGGGTGATGGAAGGGGGGAGAATGAGGCGGGGTGATGGAAGGAGGGAGAATGGGGCGGGGTGATTGAACGCGGGAGAATAGGGTGGGGTGATGGAAAGCGGGAGAATGGGGTGGGGTGGTGGAAAGTGGGAGAATGGGGCGGGGTGATGGAAAGCGGGAGAATGGGGCGGGATGATGGAAAGCGAGACAATGGGGCGGGGTGATAGAAGGAGGGAGAATGGGGCGGGGTGATGGAAAGCGGGAGAATTGGGCGGGGTGATGGAAAGCGGGAGAATGGGGCGGGGTGATGGAAAGCAGGAGAATTGGGCGGGGTGATGGAAAGCGGGAGAATGGGGCGTAGTGATGGAACGCGGGAGAATGGGGCGGGGTGATAGAAAGCGGGAGAATGGGGCGGGGTGATGGAAAGCGGGAGAATAGGGCGGGGTGATGGAAAGCGGGAGAATGGGGCGGGGTGATGGAAAGCGGGAGATTGGGGTGTGGTGATGGAAAGCAGGAGAAGGGGGCGGGATGATGGAAAGCGGTAGAATGGGGCGGGGCTATGGAAAGCGGGAGACAGGGGCTGGGTGAGGGAAAGCGGGAAAATGGGACGGGGTGATGGAAAGCGGGAGAATGGGGCGGGGTGATAGAAAGCGGGAGAACGGGGCAGGGTGATTGAAAGCGGGAGAATGGGGCGGGGTGATGAAAGGAGGGAGGATGGGGCAGGGTGATGGAAGGAGGGAGAATGGGGCGGGGTGATGGAAAGCGGGAGAATGGGGCGGGGTGATGGAAGGAGGGAGAATGGGGCGGGGTGATGGAAGGAGGGAGAATGGGCCGGGGTGATATAAATCGGGAGAATAGGGCGGGGTGATGGAAAGCGGGAGAAAGGGGCGGGGTGGTGAAAGGAGGGAGAATGGGGCGGGGTGATGGAAAGCGGGAGAATGGGGCGGGGTGATGGAAAGCGGGAGAATGGGGCAGGGTGATGGAAAGCGGGAGAATGGGGCGGGGTGATGGAAGGAGGGAGAATGGGGCGGGGTGATGGAAAGCGGGAGAATGGGGTGGGGTGATGGAAAACGGGAGAATGGGGCGGGGTGATGGAAAGCGGGAGAATGGGCGGGGTGATGGAAGGAGGGAGAATGGGGCGGGGTGATGGAAGGAGGGAGGATCGGGCGGGGTGATGGAAGGAGGGAGAATGGGGCGGGGTGATGGAAAGCGGGAGAATGGGGTAGGGTTATGGAAGGAGGGAGAATGGGGCGGGGTGATGGAAAGCAGGAGAATGGGGCGGGGTGATGGAAAGTATGAGAATGGGGCGGGTTGATGGAAAGCAGGAGAATGGGGCAGGGTTATGGAAGGAGGGAGAATGGGGCTGGGTGATGAAAGGAGGGAGAATGGGGCGGGGTGATGGAAAGCGGGAGAATGGGGCAGGGTGATGCAAAGCGGGAGAATGGGGCAGGGTTATGGAAAGCGGGAGAATGGGGCGGGGTGATGGAAGGAGGGAGAATGGGGCGGGGTGATGGAAGGGGGGAGAATGAGGCGGGGTGATGGAAGGAGGGAGAATGGGGCGGGGTGATTGAACGCGGGAGAATAGGGTGGGGTGATGGAAAGCGGGAGAATGGTGTGGGGTGGTGGAAAGTGGAAGAATGGGGCGGGGTGATGGAAAGCGGGAAAATGGGGCGGGGTGATGGAAAGCGAGACAATGGGGCGGGGTGATAGAAGGAGGGACAATGGGGCGGGGTGATGGAAAGCGGGAGAATTGGGCGGGGTGATGGAAATCGGGAGAATGGGGCGGGGTGATGGAAAGCAGGAGAATTGGGCGGGGTGATGGAAAGCGGGAGAATGGGGCGGAGTGATGGAACGCGGGAGAATGGGGCGGGGTGATGGAAAGCGGGAGAATGGGGCGGGGTGATGGAAAGCGGGAGAATAGGGCGGGGTGATGGAAAGAGGGAGAATGGGGCGGGGTGATGGAAAGCGGGAGAATGGGGTGTGGTGATGGAAAGCAGGAGAAGGGGGCGGGATGATGGAAAGCGGTACAATGGGGCGGGGCTATGGAAAGCGGGAGACTGGGGCGGGGTGATGGAAAGAGGGAGAATGGGGAGGGGTGATGGAAAGCGGGAGAATGGGGCGGGGTGATGGAAGGAGGGAGAATGGGGCGGGGTTATGGAACGAGGGAGAATGGGGCGGGGTGATGGAAAGCGGGAGAATGGGGCGGGGTGATGGAAAGCGGGAGAATGGGGCGCGGTGATGGAAAGCGGGAGAATGGGGCGGGGTGATGGAAAGCGGGAGAATGGGGCGCGGTGATGGAAAGCGGGAGAATGGGGCGGGGTGATGGAAGGAAGGAGAATGGGGCGGGGTGATGGAAAGCGAGAGAATGGGGCGGGGTGATGGAAAACGGGAGAATGGGGCGAGGTGATGGAAAGCGAGAGAATGGGGCGGGGTGATGGAAGGAGGGAGGATGGGGCGGGGTGATGGAAGCAGGGAGAATGAGGCGGGGTGATGGAAAGCGGGAGAATGGGGCGGGGTGATGGAAGGAGGGAGAATGGGGGGCAGTGATGGAAAGCGGGAGAAAGGGGCGGGGTGATGGAAAGCGGGAGAATGGGGCGGGGTGATGGAAGGAGGGAGAATGGGGTGGGGTGATGGAAGGAGGGAGAATGGGGCAGGGTGATTGAACGCGGGAGAATAGGGCAGGGTGATGGAAAGCGGGAGAATGGGGTGGGGTGGTGGAAAGCGGGAGAATGGGGCGGGGTGATGGAAAGCGGGAGAATGGGGCGGGGTGATGGAAAGCGGGAGAATGGGGCGCGGTGATGGAAAGCCGGAGAATGGGGCGGGGGGATGGAAGGAAGGAGAATGGGGCGGGGTGATGGAAAGCGAGAGAATGGGGCGGGGTGATGGAAAACGGGAGAATGGGGCGGGTTGATGGAAAGCGAGAGAATGGGGCGGGGTGATGGAAGGAGGGAGAATGGGGCGGGGTGATGGAAGCAGGGAGAATGAGGCGGGGTGATGGAAAGCGGGAGAATGGGGCGGGGTGATGGAAGGAGGGAGAATGGGGGGCAGTGATGGAAAGCGGGAGAAAGGGGCGGGGTGATGGAAAGCGGGAGAATGGGGCGGGGTGATGGAAGGAGGGAGAATGGGGTGGGGTGATGGAAGGAGGGAGAATGGGGCAGGGTGATTGAACGCGGGAGAATAGGGCAGGGTGATGGAAAGCGGGAGAATGGGGTGGGGTGGTGGAAAGCGGGAGAATGGGGCGGGGTGATGGAAAGCGGGAGAATGGGGCGAGGTGATGGAAAGCAAGAGAATGGGGAGGGGTGATGGAAAGCGGGAGAATGGGGCGGGGTGATGGAAAGCAGGAGAATGGGGCGGGTTTATGGAAAGCGGGAGAATGGGGCGGAGTGATGGAAAGCGGGAGAATGGGGCGGGGTGATGGAAAGCGGGAGAATGGGGCGGGGTGGTGGAAAGCGGGAGAATGGGGTGGGGTGATGGAAGGAGGGAGAATGGGGCAGAATGGGGCGGGGTGATGGAAGGAGGGAGAATGGGGCGGGGTGATGGAAAGCAGGAGAATGGGGTGGGGTGATGGAAAGCGGAAGAATGGGGCGGGGTGATGGAAAGCGGGAGAATGGGGCGGGGTGATGGAAAGTGGGAGAATGGGGCGGGGTGATGGAAAACGGGAGAATGGGGCAGGGTGATGGAAAGCGGGAGAATGGGGCGGGGTGATGGAAGGAGGGAGAATGGGGGGCAGTGATGGAAAGCGGGAGAAAGGGGCGGGGTGATGGAAAGCGGGAGAATGGGGCGGGGTTATGGAATGCGGGAGACTGTGGCGGGGTGAGGGAAAGCGGGAGAATGAGGCAGGGTGATGGAAAGCGGGAGAATGGGGCGGGGTTATGAAAGGAGGGAGAAAGGGGGGGTTGATGGAAGGAGGGAGAATGGGGCGGGCTGATGGATTTCAGGAGAATGGGGCGGGGTGATGGAAAGCGGGTGAATGCGGAGGGGTGATGGAAAGCGTGATAAGGGGGCGGGGTGATGGAAAGCTGGAGAATGGGGCGGGGTGATTGAAAGCGGGAGAACGGGGCGGGGTGATGGAAGGAGTGAGAATGGGGCGGGGTGATGGAAGGAGGGAGAATGGGGCGGGGTGATGGAAGGAAGGAGAATGGGGCGGGGTGATGGGAAGCGGGAAAATGAGGCGGGGTGACGGAGAGCGGGAGAACGGGGCGGGGTGACAGAGAGCAGGAGAACGGGGCGGGGTGACGGAAAGCGGGAGAACGGGGCGGGGTGATGGAAAGCGGGAGAATGGGGCGGGGTGATGGAAAGCGGGAGAATGGGGCGGGGTGATGGAAAGCGGGAGAATCGGGCGGGGTGATGGAAACGGGAGAATGGGGCGGGGTGATGGAAAGCAGGAGAATGGGGCGTGGTGATGGAAGGAGGGAGAATGGGGCGGGGCGATGGAAAGCGGGAGAATTGGGCGAGGTGATGGAAAGCGGGAGAATGGGGCGGGGTGATGGAAAGCGGGAGAATGGGGCGGGGTGATGGAAGGAGGGAGAATGGCGCGGGGTGATGGAAGGAGGGAGGACGGGGCGGGGTGATGGAAGGAGGGAGAATGGGACGGGGTGATGGAAAGCGGGAGAAGGGGGCAGGGTGATGGAAAGTAGGAGAATGGGGCAGGGTGATCGAAAGCGGGAGAATGGGGCAGGGTTATGGAAGGAGGGAGAATGGGGCGGGGTGATGGAAGGAGGGAGAATGGGGCGGGGTGATGGAAAGCGGGAGAATGGGGCTGGGTGATGGAAAGCGGGAGAATGGGGCGGGGAGATGGAAAGCGGGAGAATGGGGCGGGGTGATGGAAAGCAGGAGAATGGGGCGGGGTGATGGAAGGAGGGGGAATGGGGCGGGGTGATGGAAGGAGGGAGAATGGGGCGGGGTGATTGAACGCGGGAGAATAGGGTGGGGTGATTGAAAGCGGGAGAATGGGGTGGGGTGGTGGAAAGCGAGAGAATGGGGCGGGGTGATGGAAAGCGAGAGAATGGGGCGGGGTGATGGAAAGCGAGAGAATGGGGCGAGGTGATGGAAAGCGAGAGAATGGGGCGGGGTGATGGAAAGCGGGAGAATGGGACAGGGTGATGGAAAGCGGGAGAATGGGGCGGGGTGATGGAAAGCGGGAGAATGGGGCGGGGTGATGGAAGGAGGGAGAATGGGGCGGGGTGATGGAAGGAGGGAGAATGAGGCGGGTTGATGGAAAGCGGGACAATGGGGCGGGGTGATGGAAAGAGGGAGAATGGGGCGGGGTGATTGAAGGAGGGAGAATGAGATGGGATGATGGAAAGAGTAAGAATGGGGCGGGGTGATGGAAAGCGGGAAAATGGGGCGGGGTGATGGAAAGCGGGAGAATTGGGCGGGGTGATGGAAGGAGGGAGAATGGGGCGGGGTGATGGAAGGAGGGAGAATGGGGCGGGGTTATGGAGATTGGGAGAATGGGGCGGGGTGATGGAAAGCGGGAGAATGGGGCGGGGTGATGGAAAGTGGGAGAATGGGGCCGGGTGATGGAAAGCGGGAGAATGGGACGGGGCGATGGAAAGCGGGAGAAAGGGGCGGGGCGATGGAAGGAGGGAGAATGGGGTGGGATAATGGAAAGCGGGAGAATGGGGCGGGGTGATGGAAAGCGGGAGAATGGGGCGGGGTGATGGAAAGCGAGAGAATGGTGGGGGGTGATGGAAAGCGGGATAATGAGGCGGGGTGATGGATAGTGGGAGAATGGGGCGGGGTGATGGAAAACGGGAGAATTGGGCGGGGTGATGGAAATCAGGCGAATCGGGCGGGGTGATGGACGGAGGGAGAATGGGGTGGGGTGATGGAAAGAGTGAGAATGGGGCGGGCTGATGGAAAGCGGGAGAATGGGGCGGAGTGATGGAAAGCGGGAGAATGGGGCGAGGTGATGGAAAGCGGGAGAATGGGGCGGGGTGATGGAAAGCGGGAGAATGGGGCGGGGTGGTGGAAAGCGGGAGAATGGGGCGGGGTGATGGAAAGTGGGAGAATTGGGCGGGGTTATGGAATGAGGGAGAAGGGGGGGGGGGTGATGGAAGGAGGGAGAATGGGGCGGGGTGATTGAAAGCGGGAGAATGGGGCGGGGTGATGGAAGGAGTGAGAATGGGGCGGGGTGATGGAAGGAGGGAGAATAGGGCGGGGTGATGGAAAGCGGGAGAGTGGGGCGGGGTGATAGAAAGAAGTAGACTGGGGCAGGGTGAGGGAAAGCGGGAGAATGGGGTGGGTTTATGGAAGGAGGGAGAATGGGGTGGGGTGATGGAAGGACGGAGAATGGGGAGGAATGATGGAAAGCAGGAGAAGGGGGCGGGGTGATGGAAAGCGGGAGAATGGGGGGGGGGCTATGGAAAGCGGGAGACTGGTTGCGGGGTGAGGGAAAGCGGGAGAATGGGGCGGGGTGATGGAAAGCGGGAGAATGGGGCGGGGTGAGGAAAAGCGGGAGAATGGGGCGGGGTGATCGAAAGTGGGAGAATGGGGCGGGGTGATGGAAAACAGGAGAATGGGGCGGTGTGATGGAAAGCGGGAGAATGGGGCGGGGTGATGGAAAGCAAGAGAACGGGGCGGGGTGATGGAAAGCGGGAGAATGGGGCGGGTTGATGGAAAGCGTTAGAATGGGGCGGGGTGATGGAAAGCGGGAGAATGGGGCGGGGTGATTGAAAGCGGGAGAATGGGGCGGGGTGATGGAAGGAGTGAGAATGGGGCGGGGTGATGGAAGGAGGGAGAATGGGGCGGGGCTAAGGAGGGAGAATGGGGCGGGGTGATGGAAAGCGGGAGAATGGGGCGGGGTGATGGAAAGCGGGAGAATGGGGCGGGGTGATGGAAAGCGGGAGAATGGGGCGGGGTGATGGAAAACGGGAGAATGGGGCTGGGTGATGGAAAGCGGTAGAATGGGGCGGGGTGATGGAAAGCGGGAGAATGGGGCGGGGTGATGGAAGGAGGGAGAATGGGGCGGGGTGATGGAAGCATGGAGAATGAGGCGGGGTGATGGAAAGCGGGAGAATGGGGCGGGGTGATGGAAAGAGGGAGAATGGGGCGGGGTGATTGAAGGAGGGAGAATGAGATGGGATGATGGAAAGAGTAAGAATGGGGCGGGGTGATGGAAAGCGGGAAAATGGGGCGGGGTGATGGAAAGCGGGAGAATTGGGCGGGGTGATGGAAGGAGGGAGAATGGAGCGCGGTGATGGAAGGAGGGAGAATGGGGTGGGGTGATGGAGATTGGGAGAATGGGGCGGGGTGATGGAAAGCGGGAGAATGGGGCGGGGTGATGGAAAGCGGGAGAATGGGGCCGGGTGATGGAAAGCGGGAGAAGTGGGCGGGGCGATGGAAAGCGGGAGAAAGGGGCGGGGCGATGGAAGGAGGGAGAATGGGGTGGGATGATGGAAAGCGGGAGAGTGGGGCGGGGTGATGGAAAGCGGGAGAATGGGGCGGGGTGATGGAAAGCAAGAGAATGGGGCGGGGTGATGGAAAGCGGGATAATGAGGCGGGGTGATGGATAGTGGGAGAATGGGGCGGGGTGATGGAAAACGGGAGAATTGGGCGGGGCGATGGAAATCAGGCGAATGGGGCGGGGTGATGGACGGAGGGAGAATGGGGTGGGGTGATGGAAAGAGTGAGAATGGGGCGGGCTGATGGAAAGCGGGAGAATGGGGCGGAGTGATGGAAAGCGGGAGAATGGGGCGAGATGATGGAAAGCAGGAGAATGGGTCGGGGTGATGGAAAGCGGGAGAACGGGGCGGGGTGATGGAAAGCAAGAGAATGGGGCGGGGTGATGGAAAGCGGACGTGGACATGGACGTGGAGGACTTGGACGTGGACGTGGACGTGGAGGTGGACGTGGACGTGGACGTGGACGTGGACGTGGACTTGGACATGGACATAGACGTGGACATGTGGACGTGGACGTGGACGTGGACATGGACGTGGACGTGGACGTGGACGTGGACGTGGACGTGGACGTGGACGTGGACCTGGACGTGGACATGGACGTGGACGTGGACATGGACGTGGAGGACTTGGACGTGGACATGGACATGGTCGTGGACGTGGACGTGGACGTGGAGGACTTGGACGTGGACATGGACGTGGACATGGACGTGGACGTGGACGTGGACCGTGGACGTGGACGTGGACGTGGACGTGGACGTGGTCGTGGACGTGGACGTGGATGGACGTGGAAGTGGACGTGGACGCGGACGTGGACGCGGACGCGGACGTGGACGCGGACGTGGACAAGGACGCGGACGTGGAATCGGACGTGGACAAGGACGCGGACGTGGAAGTGGACAAGGACGTGGACGTTGACGTGGACGTGGACGTGACATGGACGTGGACATGGACGTGGTCGTGGACGTGGACGTGGACGTGGACGCGGACGTGGACGCGGACGTGGACGTGGACGCGGACGTGGACGCGGACGCGGACGTGGACGTGGACGCGGACGCGGACGTGGACGTGGACGCGGACGCGGACGCGGACGTGGACGTGGACGCGGACGTGGACGCGGACGTGGACAAGGACGCGGACATGGACGTGGTTGTGGACATGGACATGGACCTGGACGTGGACATGGACATGGACGTGGACGTGGACATGGACATGGACATGGACGTGGACGTGGACATGGACGTGGACGTGGACGTGGACGCGGACGTGGACGTGGATGTGGACGTCGACGTGGACGTGGATGGACGCGGACGTCGACGTGGACGTGGACGGACATGGACGTGGACTTGGACGTGGACGTGGACGTGGACGTGGACCTGGTCGTGGACGTGGACGTGGACGTGGACGTGGACGTGGACGTGGACGTGGTCGTGGTCGTGCGCGGACGTGGACGTGGACGTGGACGCAGACGTGGACGGACGTGGACCTGGACGTGGACGTGGACGTGGACATGGACGTGGACGTGGTCGTGGACGTGGATGTGGTCGTGGTCGTGGACGTGGACATGGTCGTGGACATGGACGTGGACATGGTCGTGGACGTGGACGTGGACGTGGACGTGGACGTGGACGTGGACGTGGACATGGACATGGACATGGACGTGGACGTGGACGTGGACGTGGACATGGACGTGGACATGGACGTGGACGTGGACGTGGACGTGGACATGGACGTGGACATGGACGTGGAGGACTTGGAAGTGGACATGGACGTGGTCGTGGACATGGACGTGGACGAGGACGTGGACGTGGTCGTGGACGTGGACGTGGACGTGGTCGTGGACGTGGACGTGGACGTGGTCTTGGACGTGGTCGTGGACGTGGACGTGGACGTGGACGTCCACCTGGACGTGGACGTGGACGTAGACGTGGACGTGGACGTGGACGTGGACGTGGACATGGACATGGACATGGACGTGGACGTGGACGTGGACGTGGACGTGGGGGTGGACGTGGACGTGGACGTCGACGTGGACGTCGACGTGGACGTGGACGTGGACGTTGACGTGGACGTGGACGTGGACGTGGACGTGGACGTGGACGTGGACGTGGACATGGACGTGGAGGACTTGGACGTGGACATGGACGTGGACATGGACGTGGACATGGACTTGGACGTGGACGTGGTCGTGGACGTGGACGTGGACGTGGACATGGACATGGACATGGACGTGGACGTGGACGTGGACATGGACATGGACGTGGACATGGACGTGGAGGACTTGGAAGTGGACATGGACGTGGTCGTGGACATGGACGTGGACGAGGACGTGGACGTGGTCGTGGACGTGGACGTGGACGTGGTCGTGGACGTGGACGTGGACGTGGTCTTGGACGTGGTCGTGGACGTGGACGTGGACGTGGACGTCCACCTGGACGTGGACGTGGACGTAGACGTGGACGTGGACGTGGACGTGGACGTGGACATGGACATGGACATGGACGTGGACGTGGACGTGGACGTGGACGTGGGGGTGGACGTGGACGTGGACGTCGACGTGGACGTCGACGTGGACGTGGACGTGGACGTTGACGTGGACGTGGACGTGGACGTGGACGTGGACGTGGACGTGGACGTGGACATGGACGTGGAGGACTTGGACGTGGACATGGACGTGGACATGGACGTGGACATGGACTTGGACGTGGACGTGGACGTGGACGTGGACGTGGACCTGGACGTGGACGCGGACGCGGACGTGGACGTGGACGTGGACGCGGACCTGGACGTGGACGCGGACGCGGACGTGGACGTGGACGCGGAAGTTGACGTGGACGTGGAAGTTGACGTGGACGTGGACGTGGACGTGGACGTGGACCTGGACTTGGACGTGGACGTGGACGTGGACGTGGACGTTGACGTGGACGTGGACATGGACGTGGACGTGGACCTGGACGTGGACGTGGACGTGGACGTGGACGTGGACGTGGTCGTGGACGTGGACGTGGACGTGGACGTGGACGTGGACGTGGACGTGGACGTGGACCTGGACGTGGACGTGGACGTGGACGTGGACGTGGACGTGGACGTGGACCTGGACGTGGACGTGGACGTGGACGTTGACGTGGACGTGGACGTGGACGTGGACGTGGACGTGGACGTGGACAGGGACGTGGACGTGGACATGGACGTGGACGTGGACGTGGACGTGGACATGGACGTGGACATGGACGTGGAGGACTTGGACGTGGACATGGACGTGGAGGACTTGGACGTGGACATGGACGTGGTCATGGACGTGGACGTGGACGTGGACGTGGAGGACTTGGACGTGGACGTGGACATGGACGTGGACATGGTCGTGGACGTGGACGTGGACGTGGACCTGGACGTGGACGTGGACGTGGACCGTGGACGTGGACGTAGACATGGACGTGGTCGTGGACGTGGTCGTGGACGTGGACGTGGACGTGGACGTGGACATGGACGTGGACGTGGACGTGGACGTGGACGTGGACGTGGACGTAGACTTGGACATGGACGTGGACGTGGACGTGGACGTCGACGTGGACATGGACGTGGACGTCGACGTCGACGTGGACGTGGACGTGGACGTGGACGTGGACATGGACGTGGACATGGGCGTGGAGGACTTGGACGTGGACATGGACGTGGTCGTGGACATGGACGTGGAGGACTTGGACGTGGACATGGACGTGGTCGTAGACATGGACGTGGACATGGACATGGACATGGACGTAGACGTGGACATGGACGTGGACATGGACGCGGACGTGGACGTGGACGTGGACATGGACATGGACATGGACGTGGACATGGACGTGGACATGGACGTGGACATGGACGTGGACGTGGACGTGGACGTCGACGTGGACATGGACATGGACATGGACGTGGACGTGGACGTGGACGCGGACGTGGACGTGGACGTGGATGGACGCGGACGTGGATGGATGCGGACGTGGATGGACGTGGACGTGGACGCGGACGTGGACGTGGACGCGGACGTGGACGCGGACGCGGAAGTGGACGGGGATGTGGACGTGGACGGGGACGTGGACGTGGACGTGGACGTGGACGTGGACGTGGACATGGACGTGGATATGGACGTGGACATGGACGTGGACGTGGACGTGGACGTGGACATGGACGTGGACATGGACGTGGACGTGGACATGGACGTGGACATGGACGTGGACGTGGTCGTGGACGTGGACGTGGAGGACTTGGACGTGGACATGGACGTGGACATGGACGTGGACGTAGACGTGGACGTGGACGTGGACGTGGACGTGGACGTGGGGGACTTGGACGTAGACGTGGACGTGGTTGTGGACGTGGACGTGGACGTGGACGTGGAGGTTTTGGACGTGGACATGGACGTGGACATGGACGTGGACGTGGTCGTGGACATTGACGTGGACGTGGTCGTGGACGTGGTTGTGAACGTGGACGTGGACGTGGACGTGGACGTGGACGTGGACCTGGACCTGGACGTGGACGTGGACGTGGACGTGGACATGGACGTGGACGTGGACGTGGACGTCGACGTGGACGTGGACGTGGACGTGGACGTGGACGTGGACGTGGACGTGGACGTGGACATGGACGTGGACGTGGACATGGACGTGGACGTGGAGGTGGAGGACTTGGACGTGGACATGGACGTGGTCATGGACATGGACGTGGACATGGACATGGACATGGACATGGACATGGACGTGGACGTGGACATGGACGCGGACATGGACGCGGACGTAGACGTGGACGTGGACGTGGACATGGACATGGACATGGACGTGGACATGGACGTGGACATGGACGTGGACGCGGACGTGGACAAGGACGTGGACGTGGACGTGGACATGGACGTGGACGTGGACGTGGAGGTGGACGTGGACGTGGACGTGGACGTGGATGAACGTGGACGTGGACGCGGATGTGGATGTAGATGGACGCGGACGTGGGCGTGGACGTGGACGTGGAAGCGGACGTGGACGTGGACGGGGACGTGGACGTGGACGGGGACATGGACGTGGACGTGGAAGTGGACGTGGACGTGGACATGGACGTGGACATCGACGTGGACATGGACGTGGACGTGGACGTGGACATGGACGTGGACGTGGACATGGACGTGGACATGGACGTGGACGTGGTCGTGGACGTGGACGTGGTGGACTTGGACCTGGACGTGGACGTAGACGTGGACGTGGACGTGGACGTGGACGTGGAGGACTTGGACGTGGACGTGGACGTAAACGTGGTCGTGGACGTGGACGTGGTCGTGGACGTGGACGTGGACGTGGACGTGGACGTGGACGGGACGTGGACGTGGACGTGGACGTGGACGTGGAGGACTTTGACGTGGACATGGACGTGGTCGTGGACGTGGACAAGGACATGGACGTGGAGGACTTGGACGTGGACATGGACGTGGACATGGACGTGGACGTGGTCGTGGACGTGGATATGATCGTGGACGTGGACGTGGACGTGGACGTGAACGTGGACGTGGACGTGGTCGTGGTCGTAGTCGTGGTCGTGGTCGTGGACGTGGACGTGGACGTGGACGTGGACGTGGTCGTGGACGTGGACGTGGACGTGGACGTGGACCTGGTCGTGGACGTGGTCGTGGACGTGGACGTGGACGTGGACGTGGACGTGGTCGTGGAGGTGGACGTGGACGTGGACGTGGAGGTGGAGGTGGACGTGGACGTGGAGGTGGACGTGGACGTGGACGTGGAGGTGGAGGTGGAGGTGGACGTGGACGTGGACGTGGACGTGGTCATGGACGTGGACGTGGACGTGGAGGTGGAGGTGGAGGTGGACGTGGACGTGGACGTGGTCGTGGATGTGGACGTGGACGTGGAGGTGGAGGTGGACGTGGACGTGGAGGTGGAGGTGGACGTGGACGTGGACGTGGACGTGGAGGTGGTCGTGGATGTGGACGTGGACGTGGACGTGGAGGTGGAGGTGGACGTGGACGTGGAGGTGGAGGTGGACGTGGACGTGGACGTGGACGTGGACATGGACGTGGACATGGACGTGGAGGACCTGGACGTGGACATGGACGTGGTCGTGGACGTGGATGTGGACGTGGAGGACTTGGACGTGGACATGGACGTGGACATGGACGTGGACGTGGTCGTGGACGTGGATATGGTCGTGGACGTGGACGTGGACGTGGACGTGGACGTGGACGTCGACGTCGACGTGGACATAGACGTGGACGTGGACGTGGACATGGACATGGACGTGGTCGTGGTCGTGGTCGTGGTCGTGGACGTGGACGTGGACATGGACGTGGACGTGGTCGTGGACGTGGACGTGGACGTGGACGTGGACGTGGACATGGACGTGGACGTGGACGTGGACATGGACATGGACGTGGACTTGGACATGGACGTGGACGTGGACATGGACGTGGACGTGGACGTGGAGGACTTGGACGTGGACATGGACGTGGTCGTGGACGTTGACGTGGACGTGGACGTGGAGGACTTGGACGTGGACATGGACGTGGTCGTGGACGTTGACGTGGACGTGGACGTGGAGGACTTGGACGTGGATATGGACGTGGACATGGACGTGGACGTGGACGTGGAGGACTTGGACGTGGACATGGACGTGGACATGGACGTGGACGTGGACGTGGACGTGGACGTGGACGTGGTCGTGGACGTGGACGTGGACGTGGTCGTGGTCGTGGTCGTGGACGTGGACGTGGACGTGGACGTGGTCGTGGTCGTGGACGTGGACGTGGACGTGGACGAGGACGTGGTCGTGGACGTGGACGTGGACGTGGACATGGACATGGTCGTGGACGTGGACGTGGACATGGACGTGGAGGTGAACGTGGACGTGGACGTGGACATGGACGTGGACATGGTCGTGGACGTGGACGTGGACGTGGACGTGGACATGGACGTGGACGTGGACGTGGACGTGGACGTGGAGGACTTGGACGTGGACATGGACGTGGACGTGGACGTGGACGTGGACGTTGAGGTGGAGGTGGACGTGGACGTGGACGTGGACGTGGACGTGGACGTGGACGTGGACGTGGACGTGGAGGACTTGGACGTGGACATGGACGTGGACGTGGACATGGACGTGGACGTGGACGTGGACGTGGACGTGGACATGGACGTGGACGTGGAGGTGGACGTGGACGTGGAGGTGGACGTGGACGTGGAGGTGGACGTGGACGTGGACGTGGACGTGGACGTGGACGTGGACATGGACGTGGAGGACTTGGACGTGGACATGGACGTGGACGTGGACGTGGACGTGGACGTGGACGTGGTCGTGGACGTGGACTTGGACGTGGACGTGGACGTGGACTTGGACGTGGGCGTGGACGTGGACGTGGACGTGGACTTGGACGTGGACGTGGACGTGGACGTGGACGTGGTCGTGGACGTGGACGTGGACGTGGTCGTAGACGTGGACGTGGACGAGGTCGTGGACGTGGACGTGGTCGTGGACGTGGACGTGGAGGACGTGGACGTGGACCTGGACGTGGACGTGGACGTGGACGTGGTCGTGAACGTGGTTGTGGATGTGGTCGTGGATGTGGACGTGGACGTGGTCGTGGACATGGACGTGGACATGGACATGGACGTGGTCGTGGACGTGGACATGGACGTGGTCGTGGACTTGGACGTGGACGTGGACGTGGATGTGGTCGTGGATGTGGACGTGGACGTGGTCGTGGACGTGGACGTGGACGTGGACATGGACGTGGACGTGGAGGACGTGGACGCGGACGTGGACGTGGTCGTGGACGTGGTCGTGGACGTGGTTGTGGACGTGGTCGTGGACATGGACGTGGACCTGGACGTGGACGTGGACGTGGAGGTGGAGGTGGAGGTGGACGTGGACGTGGACGTGGACGTGGACGTGGACATGGACGTGGACGTGGAAGTGGACTGGACATGGACGTGGACGTGGACGTGGACGTGGACGTGGACGTGGACGTGGAGGTGGACGTGGACGTGGACGTGTACGTGGACCTGGACGTGGACGTGGACGTGGACGTGGACATGGACGTGGTCGTGGACGTGGACGTGGACGTGGACTTGGACGTGGACGTGGACGTGGACTTGGACGTGGTCGTGGACGTGGACGTGGACGTGGACGTGGACTTGGACGTGGACGTGGACGTGGACGTGAACGTGGACGTGGTCATGGACGTGGACGTGGACGTGGTCGTGGACGTGGACGTGGACGAGGTCGTGGACGTGGACGTGGTCGTGGACGTGGACGTGGACGTGGACGTGGAGGACGTGGACGTGGACCTGGACGTGGACGTGGACGTGGACGTGGTCGTGGACCTGGTCGTGGATGTGGTCGTGGATGTGGACGTGGACGTGGTTGTGGACATGGACGTGGACGTGGACATGGGCGTGGTCGTGGACGTGGACGTGGACGTGGATGTGGACTTGGACGTGGACGTGGACGTGGATGTGGTCGTGGATGTGGACGTGGATGTGGTCGTGGACGTAGACGTGGACGTGGACGTGGACGAGGTCGTGGTCGTGGACGTGGACGTGGACGTGGACTTGGACGTGGACGTGGACGAGGTCTTGGACGTGGACGTGGTCGTGGACGTGGATGTGGTCGTGGACGTGGATGTGGACGTGGACCTGGACGTGGACGTGGACGTGGACCTGGACGTGGACCTGGACGTGGACGTGGACGTGGTCGTGGACGTGGTCGTGGATGTGGACGTGGATGTGGACGTGGACGTGGACGTGGACGTGGACGTGGTCGTGGACGTGGGCGTGGACGTGGACGTGGACCTGGACGTGGACGTGGACATGGACGTGGACGTGGACGTGGACATGGACGTGGACATAAACGTGAACGTGGACGTGGATGTGAACGTGGACGTGGACATGGACGTGGACGTGGACGTGGACGTGGACGTGGACGTGGACGTGGACTTGGACGTGGACGTGGACTTGGACGTGGACGTGGACGTGGATGTGGACGTGGACGTGGACGTGGACGTGGACATGGACGAGGTCGTGGACGTGGACGTGGTCGTGGACGTGGACGTGGACGTGGAAGACGTGGACGTGGACGTGGACGTGGACTTGGACGTGGACGTGGACGTGGTCGTGGACGTGGACGTGGACGTGGTCGTGGACGTGGAGGACGTGGACGTGGACGTGGAGGCGGACGTGGACTTGGACGTGGACGTGGACGTGGACGTGGAGGACGTGGACGTGGACGTGGACTTGGACGTGGACAAGGTCGTGGACGTGGACGTGGAGGTGGACGTGGACTTGGACGTGGACGTGGACGTGGACGTGGAGGACGTGGACTTGGACGTGGAGGACGTGGACGTGGACGTGGACTTGGACGTGGTCGTGGACGTGGAGGACGTGGACGTGGTTGTGGACGTGGACGTGGACATTGACGTGGACGCAGACGTGGTCGTGGACGTGAACGTGGACGTGGACGTGGTCGTGGACGTGAACGTGGACGTGGACTTGGACGTGGACATGGACGTGGACGTGGACCTGGACGTGGACTTGGACTTGGACGTGGACGTGGACGTGGCCGTGGTCGTGGACGTGGACGTGGTCGTGGACGTGGACGTGGACGTGGACCTGGACTTGGACCTGGACATGGACTTGGACGTGGACGTGGACGTGGTCGTGGACGTGGTCGTGGACGTGGTCGTGGACGTGGTCGTGGACGGGGACGCGGACGTGGTCGTGGACGTGGACGCGGACGTGGTCGTGGACGTGGACATGGACGTGGACCTGGACGTGGACGTGGACTTGGACCTGGACGCGGACTTGGACTTGGACGTGGACGCGGACTTGGACGTGGACGTGGACGCGGACGTGGACGTGGACTTGGACTTGGACGTGGACGTGGACTTGGACTTGGACGTGGACGTGGACGTGGACGTGGTCGTGGACGTGGACGTGGACGTGGTCGTGGACGTGGACGTGGACCTGGACGTGGACGTGGTCGTGGACGTGGACGTGGACGTGGACTGGACGTAGACGTGGATGTGGACGTGGACGTTGACGTGGACGTGGACGAGGACGTGGACGTGGACGTGGAGGACGTGGACGAGGACGTGGAGGACGTGGACTTGGACGTGGACGCGGACTTGGACGTGGACGTGGACGCGGACGTGGACGTGGACTTGGACGTGGACGTGGACGTGGACGTGGTCGTGGGCGTGGACGTGGACGTGGACGTGGTCGTGGACGTGGACGTGGACGAGGACGTGGACGTGGACGTGGACGTGGAGGACGTGGACGTGGACGTGGACCTGGACGTGGACGTAGACTTGGACGTGGACGTGGACGTGGTCGTGGACGTGGTCGTGGACGTGGTCGTGGACGTGGACGTGGACGTGGACCTGGACTTCGACGTGGACGTGGACGTGGACGTGGTCGTGGACGTGGACGTGGAGGTGGACGTGGACGTGGATATGGACGTGGTCGTGGACGTGGTCGTCCACAACATGGTCGTGGACGTGGACTTGGACGTGGACGTGGACGTGGACCTGGACGTGGTCGTGGACGTGAAGTGGACGTGGTCGTGGACGTGGACGTGGACGTGGACGTAGAGGTGGACGTGGTCGTGGACGTGGACGTGGTCGTGGACGTGGACGTGGACGTGGACCTGGACGTGGAGGACGTGGACGTGGACGTGGAGGACGTGGACGTGGACCTGGACCTGGTCGTGGACGTGGACGTGGACGTCGACGTGGACGTGGAGGACGTGGACGTGGACGTGGACGTGGATGTGGACCTGGACGTGGATGTGGACGTGGATGTGGACCTGGACGTGGACGTGGTCGTGGACGGGGACGTGGTTGTGGTCGTGGACGTGGACGCGGACGTGGTCGTGGACGTGGACGAGGTCGTGGACGTGGACGTGGACCTGGACGTGGACGTGGACTTGGACGTGGACGCGGACGTGGACGTGGACGCGGACGTGGACGTGGACGCGGACGTGGACGCGGACGTGGACGTGGACGTGGACGCGGACTTGGACGTGGACGTGGACGTGGACGTGGTCGTGGACGTGGACGTGGACGTGGTCGTGGACGTGGACATGGGCTTGGACCTGGACATGGACTTGGACGTGGACGTGGACGTGGTCGTGGACGTGGACGCGGACGTGGACGTTGACGTGGATGTGGACGTGGACGTGGACGTGGACATGGACGTGGACGTGGACATGGACGTGGTCGTGGACGTGGACGTGGACGTGGACTTGGACGTGGACGTGGACGTGGTCGTGGACGTAGACATGGACGTGGACGTGGACGTGGTCGTGGACGTGGACGTGGAGGACGTGGACGTGGACGTGGACGTGGACGTGGACCTGGACGTGGACCTGGACGTGGACGTGGACGTGGTCGTGGACGTGGTCGTGGATGTGGACGTGGATGTGGACGTGGACGTGGACGTGGACGTGGTTGTGGACGTGGACGTGGACGTGGACTTGGACGACCACGTCCACGTCCATGTCCACGTCCACGACCACGTCCACGTCTATGTCCACGTCCACGTCCACGACCACGTCCACGTCCACGACCACGTCCACATCCACGTCCAGGTCCACGTCCAAGTCCATGTCCACGTCCACGTCCAGGTCCACGTCCAAGTCCACGTCCACGTCCACGACCACGTCCACGACCACGTCCACGTCCACGTCCACGTCCAAGTCCACGTCCACGTCCACGTCCACGTCCACGACCACGTCCACGACCACGTCCACGTCCACGACCACGTCCACGTCCACGTCCAAGTCCACGTCCACATCCAGGTCCACGTCCACGTCCACGTCCTCCACGTCCACGTCCACGTCCTCCATGTCCACGTCCAGGTCCACGTCCACGACCACGTCCAGGTCCACGTCCACGACCACGTCCACGTCCAAGTCCACGACCACGTCCACATCCACATCCACGTCCACGACCACGTCCACGTCCACATCCACGTCCACGACCACGTCCACGTCCACGACCACGTCCACGTCCACGACCACGTCCACGTCCACGACCACGTCCACGTCCACGTCCACGTCCACCTCCACGTCCACGTCCTCCACGTCCACGTCCACGTCCACGACCACGTCCACAACCACGTCCACGTCCACGTCCACGTCCAAGCCTACGTCCACGACCACGTCCACGTCCAGGTCCACGTCCACGTCCACGTTTACGTCCACGTCCACGACCACGTCCACGTCCAAGTCCACGTCCAAGTCCACGTCCACGTCCACGTCCTCCACGTCCACGTCCACGTCCTCCATGTCCACGTCCAGGTCCTCGTCCACGTCAACGTCCACGTCCACGTCATCCACGTCCTCCACGTCTATGTCCACGTCCACGTCCACGTCCACCACGTCCACGACCACGTCCACATCCACGTCCACGTCCACGTCCAAGTCCACGTCCACGTCCAGGTCCACGTCCATGTCCACGTCCACGACCACGTCCACGTCCACGTCCATATGCACGTCCACGTCCACGTCCACGTCCAGGTCCACGTCCACGTCCACGTCCAGGTCCACGTCATCCACGTCCACGTCCACGTCCTCCACGTCCACGTCCACGTCCACGTCCAAGCCTACGTCCACGACCACGTCCACGTCCACGTCTAGGTCCACGTCCACGTCCACGTCTACGTCCACGTCCACGACCACGTCCACGTCCAAATCCACGTCCAAGTCCACGTCCACGTCCACGTCCTCCACGTCCACGTCCACGTCCCCCATGTCCACGTCCAGGTCCTCGTCCACGTCCACGTCCACGTCCACGTCATCCACGTCCTCCACGTCTATGTCCACGTCCACATCCACGTCTACCACGTCCACGACCACGTCCACATCCACGTCCACGTCCACGTCCAAGTCCACGTCCACGTCCAGGTCCACGTCCACGTCCACGTCCACGACCACGTCCACGTCCACGTCCATGTGCACGTCCACGTCCACGTCCACGTCCGGGTCCACGTCCACGTCCACGTCCAGGTCCACGTCATCCACGTCCACGTCCACGTCCTCCACGTCCACGTCCACGTCCATGTCCACGACCACGACCTCGTCCACGTTTACGTCCACGTCTGCGTCCACGTCCACGTCCACGTCTGCGTCCACGTCCACGTCCAGGTCCACGTCCACGTCCAGGTCCACGTCCACGTCCACGTCCACGACCACGTCCACGTGCACGTGCACGTCCACGTCCAGGTCCACGTCCACGTCCAGGTCCACGTCCACGTCCACGTCAACGTCCAGGACCACGTCCACGTCCACGTCCACGACCACGTCCACGACCACGTCCACGTCCACGTCCACGTCCGCGTCCACGCCCTCCACGTCCACGTCCACGTCCACGACCACGTCCACGTCCACGACCACGTCCAAGTCCACGTCCACGTCCACGTCCACGTCCACGTCCACGTCCACGACCACGTCCACGACTGCGTCCACGTCCACGTCCACGTCCGCGTCCACGCCCTCCACGTCCACGTCCACGTCCACGTCCACGTCCACGTCCACGTCCAAGTCCACGTCCACGTCCACTTCCAAGTCCCAACCACGTCCATGTCCACGTCCACGTCCACGTCCATGTCCACAACCACGTCCACGTCCACATCAACGTCCACATCCACGCCCACGTCCACGACCATGTCCACGTCCACGTCCACGTCCAGGTCCACGTCCAGGTCCACGTCCATGTACACGTCCACGTCCTCCACGTCCACGTCCACCTCCACGTCCACGTCCACGTCCACGACCTCTTCCACGTCCACGTCCACGTCCACGACCACGTCCACGTCCACGTCCACGTCCACATCCAAGTCCACGTCCACGTCCACGACCACGTCCATGTCCACGTCCACGTCCACGTCCATGTCCACAACCACGTCCACGTCCACGTCCATGTCCACATCCACGTCCACATCCACGACCACGTCCACGACCACGTCCACGTCCACGTCCACGTCCAGGTCCACGTCCAGGTCCACGTCCACGTCCACGTCCACGTCCTCTATGTCCACGTCCACGTCCATGTCCACGACCTCGTCCACGTCCACGTCCACGTCCACGACCACGTCCACGTCCACGACCACGTTCACGTCCACGTCCACGTCCAAGTCCACATCCACGTTCACGTCCACGTCCACGACCACGTCCACGTCCACGACCACGTCCTCGTCCACGTCCAGGTCCACGTCCACGTCCAGGTCCACGTCCAAGTCCACGTCCACGTCCACGTCCACGACCACGTCCACGTCCACGTCCAAGTCCACGTCCACGTCCACGTCCACGTCCACGTCATCCACGTCCTCCACGTCTACGTCCACGTCCACGTCCACCACGTCCACGACCACGTCCACATCCACGTCCACGTCCACGTCCACGTCCAAGTCCACATCCACGTCGAGGTCCACGTCCACGTCCACGTCCACGTCCACGACCACGTCCACGTCCATGTGCACGTCCACATCCACGACCACGTCCACGTCCATGTGCACGTCCACGTCAACATCCACGTCCAGGTCCACGTCCACATCCACGTCTACGTCCACGTCCAAGTCCACGTCCACGTCCACGTCCACGTCCACGACCACGACCACGACCACGTCCACATCCACGTCCACGTCCACGACCACGTCCACGTCCACGTCCACGACCACGACCACGTCCACGTCCACGACCACGTTCACGTCCACGACCTCGTCCACGTTCTCGTCCACGTCCACGTCCACGACCACGTCCACGTCCACGTCCACGTCCAAGTCCATGTCCACATCCACGACCACGTCCACGTCCACGACCACGTCCACGTCCAGGTCCACGTCCAGGTCCACGTCCACGTCCACGTCCTCCACGTCCACGTCCACGTCCACGACCACGTCTACGTCCACGACCTCGTCCACGTCCACGTCCACGTCCACGTCCAGGTCCACGTCCTCGTCCACGTCCATGTCCACGTCCACGTCCTCCACGTCCACGTCCACGACCACGACCACGTCCACGTCCACGACCTCGTCCACGTCCACGTCCACGTCCAAGTCCACGTCCACGTCCAGGTCCACGTCCAAGTCCACGTTTATGTCCACGTCCACGACCATGTCCACGTCCACGTCCACGTCCAAGTCCACGTCCAAGTCCACATCCACGTCCACGTCCAAGTCCACGTCCACGTCTAGGTACAGGTCCACGTCCACGTCCACGTCATCCACGTCCTCCTCGTCTAAGTCCACGTCCACGTCCACGTCCACCACGTCCACGACCACGTCCACATCCACGTCCACGTCCACGTCCAAGTCCACGTCCACGTCCACGACCACGTGCACGTCCACGACCACGTCCACGTCCACGTCCACGACCACGACCACGTCCACGTCCACGACCACGTCCACGTCCACGACCTCGTCCACGTCCACGTCCACGTCCACGTCCACGACCACGTCCACGTTCACGTCCAAGTCCACGTCCACGTCCACGACCACGTGCACGTCCACGACCACGTCCACGTCCACGTCCACGACCATGACCACGTCCACGTCCACGACCACGTCCACGTCCACGACCTCGTCCACGTCCACGTCCACGTCCACGTCCACGACCCGTCCACGTCCACGTCCACGTCCACGTCCAAGTCCACGTCCACGTCCAGGTCCACGTCCAAGTCCACGTCCACGTCCACGTCCACGACCACGTCCACGTCCAAGTCCACGTCCACGTCATCCACGTCCTCCACGTCTACGTCCACGTCCACGTCCACGTCCACCACGTCCACGACCACGTCCACATCCACGTCAATGTCCACGTCCACGTCCACGTCCAAGTCCACGTCCACGTCCAGGTCGAGGTCCACGTCCACGTCCACGACCACGTCCACGTCCATGTGCACGTCCACGTCCACATCCACGTCCAGGTCCACGTCCACGTCCACGTCCTCCACGTCCACATCCACGTCCACATCCATGTCCACGTCCACGACCACGTCCACGTCCACGTCCATGTGCACGTCCACGTCCACATCCACGTCCAGGTCCACGTCCACGTCCACGTCCTCCACGTCTACGTCCACGTCCACGACCACGTCCACGTCCACGTCCACGTCATCCACGTCCTCCACGTCTACGTCCACGTCCACGTCCACGTCCACCACGTCCACGACCACGTCCACATCCACGTCCATGTCCAGTCCACGTCCACGTCCAAGTCCACGTCCACGTCAAGGTCCACGTCTACGTCCACGTCCACGTCCACGACCACGGCCACGTCCACGTCTATGTGCACGTCCACGTCCACATCCACGTCTAGGTCCACGTCCACGTCCACGTCCTCCACGTCCACATCCACGTCCACATCCACGACCACGTCCACGACCACGGCCACGTCCACGTCCATGTGCACGTCCAAGTCCACGTCCACGTCCAGGTCCACGTCCACGTCCACGTCCACATCCACGTCCAGGTCCACGTCCACGTCCTCCACGTCCACGTCCACGTCCACGTCCAAGTCCACGACCACGTCCACGACCTCGTCCACGTCCACGTTCACGTCCACGTCCACGTCCACGACCACGTCCACGTCCACGACCTCGTCCACGTCCAAGTCCACGTCCATGTCCACGTCCACGACCACGTCCACGTCCACGTCCACGTCCAAGTCCACGTCCAAGTCCACATCCACGTCCACGTCCAAGTCCAGGTCCAGGTCCAGGTCCACGTCCACGTCCACGTCATCCATGTCCTCCTCGTCTACGTCCACGTCCACGTCCACGTCCACCACGTCCACGACCACGTCCACGTCCACGTCCAAGTCCACGTCCACGTCCACGTCCACGACCACGTCCACGACCACGTCCACGTCCACGTCCACGACCACGACCACGTCCACGTCCACGACCACGACCACGTCAACGTCCACGACCTCGTCCACGTCCACGTCCACGTTCACGTCCACGACCACGTCCACGTTCATGTCCACGTCTACGTCCAAGTCCACGTCCACATCCACGTCCACGACCACGTCCACGTCCACGACCACGTCCACGTCCACGTCCACGTCCAAGTCCACGTCCACGTCCAGGTCCACGTCCAAGTCCACGTCGACGTCCACGTCCACGACCAGGTCCACATCCACGTCCAAGTCCACGTCCACGTCTAGGTCCACGTCCACGTCCACGTCATCCACGTCCTCCACGTCTACGTCCACGTCCACGTCCACGTCCACCACGTCCACGACCACGTCCACATCCACGTCCATGTCCACGTCCACGTCCACGTCCAAGTCCACGTCCACGTCCAGGTCCACGTCCACGTCCACGTCCACGTCCACGACCACGGCCACGTCCACGTCCACGTCCATGTGCACGTCCACGTCCACATCCACGTCCAGGTCCACGTCCACGTCCACGTCCTCCACGTCCACATCTACGTCCACATCCTCGACCACGTCCACGACCACGGCCACGTCCACGTCCATGTGCACGTCCAAGTCCACGTCCACGTCCAGGTCCACGTCCACGTCCACGTCGACATCCACGTCCAGGTCCACGTCCACGTCCTCCACGTCCACGTCCACGTCCACGTCCAAGTCCACGACCACGTCCACGACCTCGTCCACGTCCACGTTCACGTCCACGTCCATGTCCACGACCACGTCCACGTCCACGACCTCGTCCACGTCCAAGTCCACGTCCATGTCCACGTCCACGACCACGTCCACGTCCACGTCCACGTCCACGTCCAAGTCCACGTCCAAGTCCACATCCACGTCCACGTCCAAGTCCACGTCCAGGTCCAGGTCCACGTCCACGTCCACGTCATCCACGTCCTCCTCGTCTACGTCCACGTCCACGTCCACGTCCACCACGTCCACGACCACGTCCACGTCCATGTCCAAGTCCACGTCCACGTCCACGTCCACGACCACGTCCACGACCACGTCCACGTCCACGTCCACGACCACGACCACGTCCACGTCCACGACCACGACCACGTCCACGTCCACGACCTCGTCCACGTCCACGTCCACGTCCACGTCCACGTCCACGACCACGACCACGTCCACGTTCATGTCCACGTCCACGTCCAAGTCCACGTCCACATCCATGTCCACGACCACGTCCACGTCCACGACCACGTCCATGTCCACGTCCACGTCCAAGTCCACGTCCACGTCCAGGTCCACGTCCAAGTCCACGTCGACGTCCACGTCCACGACCAGGTCCACATCCACGTCCAAGTCCACGTCCACGTCTAGGTCTACGTCCACAACCACGTCATCCACGTCCTCCACGTCTACGTCCACGTCCACGTCCACGTCCACCACGTCCACGACCACGTCCACATCCACGTCAATGTCCACGTCCACGTCCAAGTCCACGTACACGTCCAGGTCCACGTCCACGTCCACGTCCATGTGCACGTCCACGTCCACATCCACGTCCAGGTCCACGTCCACGTCCACGTCCTCCACGTCCTCCACATCCACATCCACATCCACATCCACGTCCACGTCCACGACCACGTCCACGTCCACGTCCATGTGCACGTCCACGTCCACATCCACGTCCAGGTCCACGTCCACGTCCACGTCCTCCACGTCCACGTCCACGACCACGTCCACGTCCACGTCCACATCCACGTCATCCACGTCCTCCACGTCTACGTCCACGTCCACGTCCACGTCCACAACGTCCACGACCACGTCCACATCCACGTCCATGTCCACGTCCACGTCCACGTCCAAGTCCACGTCCACGTCCAGGTCCACGTCCACGTCCACATCCACGTCCACGTCCACGTCCATGTGCACGTCCACGTCCACATCCACGTCCAGGTCCACGTCCACGTCCACGTCCTCCACGTCCACATCCACGTCCACATCCACGACCACGTCCACGACCACGTCCACGTCCATGTGCACGTCCACGTCTACATCCACGTCCAGGTCCACGTCCACGTCCTCCACGTCCACGTCCACGACCACGTCCACGTCCACGTCCACGACCTCGTCCACGTCCACGTTCACGTCCACATCCACGACCATGTCCACGTCCACGTCCAAGTCCACGTCCACGTCCACGTCCACGTCCACGTCCTCGTCCACGTCCACGACCACGTCCATGTCCACGTCCACGTCCACGTCCATGTCCACATCCACGTCCACATCCACGTCCATATCCACGACCACGTCCACGTCCAGGTCCACGTCCACGACCATGTCGACGTCCACGTCCAGGTCCAGGTCCACGTCCACGTCCAGGTCCACGTCCACGTCCACGTCCACGTCCACGACCACGTCCACGTCCACGACCATGTCCAGGTCCACGTCTACGTCCAGGTCCAGGTCCACGTCCACGACCACGTCCACGTCCACATCCACGTCCAGGTCCACGTCCACGTCCACGTCCACGTCCACGTCCATGACCACGTCCATGTCCACTAGTCGCTTAACCGGCAATATTGTCGATTTTTTTAGTAATATGCACTTAGTGCGCTTATTTGTACGGGTCCACATCCACGACCACATCCACGTCCATGACCACGTCCACGTCCACGTCCACGTCCACGTCCAGGTCCACGTCCACGTCCTCCACGTCCACGTCCACGTCCAGGTCCAGGTCCACGTCCACGTCCACGACCTCGTCCACGTCCACGTCCACGACCACGTCCACGTTCACGTCCACGTTCACGTCCACGTCCAAGTCCACGTCCACGTCCACGACCACGTCCACATCCACAACCACGTCCACGTCCACTTCCACGTCCACGTCCAATTCCACGTCCACGTCCAGGTCCACGTCCAAGTCCACGTCCACGTCCACGTCCACGTCCAAGTCCACGTCCAAGTCCACATCCACGTCCACGTCCAAGTCCACGTTTACGTCCAGGTCCACGTCCACGTCCACGTCCACGTCATCCACGTCCTCCTCGTCTACGTCCACGTCCACGTCCACCACGTCCACGCCAAGTCCACATCCACGTCCACGTCCACGTCTAAGTCCACGTCCACGTCCAGGTCCACGTCCACGTCCACGTCCACGACCACGTCCACGTCCACGTCCATGTGCACGTCCACGTCCATATCCACGTCCAGGTCCACGTCCACGTCCAAGTCCACGTCCACATCCACGTCCACATCCACGACCACGACCCCGTCCACGTCCTCGTCCACTTCCACGACCACGTCCACGTCAACGTCCACGTCCAGGTCCAGGTCCACGTCCACGTCCTCCACGTCCACGTCCACGTCCACGACCACGTCCACGTCCACGTCCACGACCTCGTCCACGTCCACGTCCACGACCACGTCCACGTCCACGTCCACGACCACGTCCACGTCCACGACCACGTCCACATCCACGTCCACGTCCACGTCCAAGTCCACGTCCACGTCCACATCCACGTCCACGACCACGTCCACGTCCACGACCACGTCCCCGTCCACGTCCACGTCCACGTCCAAGTCCACGTCCACGTCCAAGACCACGTCCAAGTCCAAGTCCACGTCCACGACCACGTCCACGTCCACGTCCACGTCCAAGTCCACGTCCACGTCCACGTCCACGACCACGTCCACATCCACGACCACGTCCACGTCCACGTCTACGTCCAAGTCCACGTCCACGTCCAGGACCACGTCCAAGTCCACGTCCACGTCCACGTCCACGTCCAGGACCACGTCCACGTCCACGTCCACGACCACGACCACGTCCACGTCCACGTCTACGACCACGTCCACGTCCACGACCACGAACACGTCCACGTCCACGACCACGTCCACGTCCACGTCCACGTCCACGTCCAAGTCCACGTCTACGTCCACATCCACGTCCACGAAAAACGTCCACATCCACGACCACATCCACGTCCACGTCCACGACCACGTCCACGTCCACGTCCTCCACGTCCACGTCCACGTCCTCCACGTCCACGTCCACGTCCACGACCACGTCCACGTCCACGTCCACGACCACGTCCACGTCCACCTCCACGTCCACGTCCAATTCCACGTCCACGTCCACGTCCATGTCCACGACCACGTCCACGTCCACGTCCACGACCACATCCACGTCCACGTCCACGAACACATCCAGGTCCACGTTCACTTCCACGTCCACGTCCAGGTCCACGTCCACGTCCACGTCCAGGTCCACGTCCACGACCACGTCCACGTCCACGTCCACCACGTCCACCACGACCACGTCCACGTCCACGTCCACGTCCATGACCACGTCCCGGTCCATGACCTCGTCCACGTCCACGTCCGCGCCCACGTCCACGTCCACGTCCACGTCCACGTCCACGTCCACGACCACGTCCACGACCACATCCACGACCACGTCCACGACCACGTCCACGTCCACGTCTACGTCACGTCCACGACCACGTCCCGTCCACCACGTCCACGTCCACGTCCACGTCCACGACCACATCCATGTCCACGTCCACGACCACGTCCACGTCCACGTCCACCACGTCCACCACGACCACGTCCACGTCCACGTCCACGTCCATGACCACGTCCACGTCCATGACCTCGTCCACGTCCACGTCCGCGCCCACGTCCACGTCCACGTCCACGTCCACGTCCATGACCATGTCCACGTCTATGACCTCGTCCACGTCCACGTCCGCGCCCACGTCCACGTCCACGTCCATGTCCAGGTCCACGTCCACGTCCAGGTCTACGTCCACGTCCATGTCCACGTCCACAACCACATCCACGTCCACGTCCACGTGCACGTCCACGTCCACGTCCACGTCCACGTCCAAGTCCACGTCCACGTCCAGGTCCACGTCCACGTCCACGTCCAAGTCCACGTCCATGTCCACGACCACGTCCACGTCCAGGTCCACGTCCACGTCCAAGTCCACGTCCACGTCCAGGTCCACGACCACGTCCAGGTCCATGTCCACGTCCAAGTCCACGTCCACGTCCAAGTCCACGACCACGTCCACGTCCAGGTCCACGTCCACGTCCACGTCAACGACCACATCCACGTCCACGATCTCGTCCACGTCCACGTCCACGTCCACGTCCACGTCCAGGTCCACATCCACGTCCACGTCCAAGTCCACGTCCACGTCCACGTGCACGTCCACGTCCACGTCCACGTCCAAGTCCACGTCCACGTCCAGGTCCACGTCCACGTCCACGTCCAGGTCCACGTCCACGTCCACGACCACGTCCACGTCCAGGTCCACGTCCACGTCCAAGTCCACGTCCACGTCCACGTCCAAGTCCACGTCCACGTCCAGGTCCACGTCCACGTCCACGTCCACGACCACGTCCACGTCCACGTCCATGTCCACGACCACGTCCACGTCCAGGTCCACGTCCACGTCCAAGTCCACGTCTACGTCCAAGTCCACGACCACGTCCAGGTCCATGTCCACGTCCAAGTCCACGTCCACGTCCAAGTCCACGACCACGTCCACGTCCAGGTCCACGTCCACGTCCACGTCAACGACCACATCCACGTCCACGACCTCGTCCACGTCCACGTCCACGTCCACGTCCAGGTCCACATCCACGTCCACGTCCAAGTCCACGTCCACGTCCACGTGCACGTCCACGTCCACGTCCACGTCCAAGTCCACGTCCACATCCAGGTCCACGTCCACGTCCACGTCCAGGTCCACGTCCACGTCCACGACCACGTCCACGTCCAGGTCCACGTCCACGTCCAAGTCCACGTCCACGTCCACGTCCAAGTCCACGTCCACGTCCAGGTCCACGTCCACGTCCACGTCCACGACCACGTCCACGTCCACGACCACGTCCACGTCCACGTCCATGACCACGTCCACGTCCACGTCCACGACCACGTCCACGTCCACGTCCACGTCCACGACCTCGTCCACGTCCACGTCCACGTCCACGTCCATGTCCACGTCCACGTCCACGACCACGTCCACGACCACGTCCACGTCCACGTCCAAGTCCACGTCCACGTCCAGGTCCACGTCCACGTCATCCACGTCCTCCACGTCTGCGTCCACGTCCACGTCCACATCCACCACGTCCACGACCACGTCCACATCCACGTCCACGTCCACGTCCACATCCACCACGTCCACGTCTACGTCCACGTCCACGTCCACGTCTACGTCCACGTCCACGTCCACGTCCACGACTACGTCCACGTCCACGTCCTCCACGTCCACGTCCACGACCACGTCCACGTCCACGTCCACGACCACGTCCACGTCCACGTCCACGTCCAAGTCCACGTCCACGTCCATGTCCATGTCCACGACCACGTCCACGTCCACGTCCACGACCACATCCACGTCCACGTCCACGAACACATTCAGGTCCACGTTCACGTCCACGTCCACGTCCACGTCCAGGTCCAGGTCCACGTCCAGGTCCAGGTCCACGTCCACCTCCTCTCCACATCCACGACCTCGTCCATGTCCACGTCCACGTCCACGTCCACGTCCACGTCCAAGTCCACGTCCACGTCCAGGACCACGTCCAAGTCCACGTCCACGTCCACGACCACGTGCACGTCCACGTCCAAGTCCACGTCCACGTCCACGTCCACGTCCACGTCCACGACCACGTCCACATCCACGACCACGTCCACGTCCACGTCCATGTCCAAGTCCACATCCACGTCCAGGACCACGTCCAAGTCCACGTCCACGTCCACGTCCAGGACCACGTCCACGTCCACGTCCACGACCACGACCACGTCCACGTCCATGTCCACGACCACGTCCACGTCCACGACCACGTCCACGACCACGTCCACGTCCACGTCCTCCACGTCCACGTCCACGTCCTCCACGTCCACGTCCACGTCCACGACCACGTCCACGTCCACGTCGACGACCACGTCCACGTCCACCTCCACGTCCACGTCCAATTCCACGTCCACATCCACGTCCATGTCCACGACCACGTCCACGTCCACGTCCACGACCACATCCACGTCCACGTCCACGAACACATCCAGGTCCACGTTCACTTCCACGTCCACGTCCAGGTCCACGTCCACGTCCACGTCCAGGTCCATGTCCACGTCCACCTCCTCTCCACATCCACGACCTGGTCCATGTCCACGTCCACGTCCACGTCCACGTCCACGTCCAGGTCCACGTCCACGTCCACGTCCACGTCCACGACCACGGCCACGTCCACGTCCACGTCCATGTGCACGTCCACGTCCACATCCACGTCCAGGTCCACGTCCACGTCCACGTCCTCCACGTCCACATCTACGTCCACATCCTCGACCACGTCCACGACCACGGCCACGTCCACGTCCATGTGCACGTCCAAGTCCACGTCCACGTCCAGGTCCACGTCCACGTCCACGTCGACATCCACGTCCAGGTCCACGTCCACGTCCTCCACGTCCACGTCCACGTCCACGTCCAAGTCCACGACCACGTCCACGACCTCGTCCACGTCCACGTTCACGTCCACGTCCATGTCCACGACCACGTCCACGTCCACGACCTCGTCCACGTCCAAGTCCACGTCCATGTCCACGTCCACGACCACGTCCACGTCCACGTCCACGTCCACGTCCAAGTCCACGTCCAAGTCCACATCCACGTCCACGTCCAAGTCCACGTCCAGGTCCAGGTCCACGTCCACGTCCACGTCATCCACGTCCTCCTCGTCTACGTCCACGTCCACGTCCACGTCCACCACGTCCACGACCACGTCCACGTCCATGTCCAAGTCCACGTCCACGTCCACGTCCACGACCACGTCCACGACCACGTCCACGTCCACGTCCACGACCACGACCACGTCCACGTCCACGACCACGACCACGTCCACGTCCACGACCTCGTCCACGTCCACGTCCACGTCCACGTCCACGTCCACGACCACGACCACGTCCACGTTCATGTCCACGTCCACGTCCAAGTCCACGTCCACATCCATGTCCACGACCACGTCCACGTCCACGACCACGTCCATGTCCACGTCCACGTCCAAGTCCACGTCCACGTCCAGGTCCACGTCCAAGTCCACGTCGACGTCCACGTCCACGACCAGGTCCACATCCACGTCCAAGTCCACGTCCACGTCTAGGTCTACGTCCACAACCACGTCATCCACGTCCTCCACGTCTACGTCCACGTCCACGTCCACGTCCACCACGTCCACGACCACGTCCACATCCACGTCAATGTCCACGTCCACGTCCAAGTCCACGTACACGTCCAGGTCCACGTCCACGTCCACGTCCATGTGCACGTCCACGTCCACATCCACGTCCAGGTCCACGTCCACGTCCACGTCCTCCACGTCCTCCACATCCACATCCACATCCACATCCACGTCCACGTCCACGACCACGTCCACGTCCACGTCCATGTGCACGTCCACGTCCACATCCACGTCCAGGTCCACGTCCACGTCCACGTCCTCCACGTCCACGTCCACGACCACGTCCACGTCCACGTCCACATCCACGTCATCCACGTCCTCCACGTCTACGTCCACGTCCACGTCCACGTCCACAACGTCCACGACCACGTCCACATCCACGTCCATGTCCACGTCCACGTCCACGTCCAAGTCCACGTCCACGTCCAGGTCCACGTCCACGTCCACATCCACGTCCACGTCCACGTCCATGTGCACGTCCACGTCCACATCCACGTCCAGGTCCACGTCCACGTCCACGTCCTCCACGTCCACATCCACGTCCACATCCACGACCACGTCCACGACCACGTCCACGTCCATGTGCACGTCCACGTCTACATCCACGTCCAGGTCCACGTCCACGTCCTCCACGTCCACGTCCACGACCACGTCCACGTCCACGTCCACGACCTCGTCCACGTCCACGTTCACGTCCACATCCACGACCATGTCCACGTCCACGTCCAAGTCCACGTCCACGTCCACGTCCACGTCCACGTCCTCGTCCACGTCCACGACCACGTCCATGTCCACGTCCACGTCCACGTCCATGTCCACATCCACGTCCACATCCACGTCCATATCCACGACCACGTCCACGTCCAGGTCCACGTCCACGACCATGTCGACGTCCACGTCCAGGTCCAGGTCCACGTCCACGTCCAGGTCCACGTCCACGTCCACGTCCACGTCCACGACCACGTCCACGTCCACGACCATGTCCAGGTCCACGTCTACGTCCAGGTCCAGGTCCACGTCCACGACCACGTCCACGTCCACATCCACGTCCAGGTCCACGTCCACGTCCACGTCCACGTCCACGTCCATGACCACGTCCATGTCCACTAGTCGCTTAACCGGCAATATTGTCGATTTTTTTTAGTAATATGCACTTAGTGCGCTTATTTGTACGGGTCCACATCCACGACCACATCCACGTCCATGACCACGTCCACGTCCACGTCCACGTCCACGTCCAGGTCCACGTCCACGTCCTCCACGTCCACGTCCACGTCCAGGTCCAGGTCCACGTCCACGTCCACGACCTCGTCCACGTCCACGTCCACGACCACGTCCACGTTCACGTCCACGTTCACGTCCACGTCCAAGTCCACGTCCACGTCCACGACCACGTCCACATCCACAACCACGTCCACGTCCACTTCCACGTCCACGTCCAATTCCACGTCCACGTCCAGGTCCACGTCCAAGTCCACGTCCACGTCCACGTCCACGTCCAAGTCCACGTCCAAGTCCACATCCACGTCCACGTCCAAGTCCACGTTTACGTCCAGGTCCACGTCCACGTCCACGTCCACGTCATCCACGTCCTCCTCGTCTACGTCCACGTCCACGTCCACCACGTCCACGCCAAGTCCACATCCACGTCCACGTCCACGTCTAAGTCCACGTCCACGTCCAGGTCCACGTCCACGTCCACGTCCACGACCACGTCCACGTCCACGTCCATGTGCACGTCCACGTCCATATCCACGTCCAGGTCCACGTCCACGTCCAAGTCCACGTCCACATCCACGTCCACATCCACGACCACGACCCCGTCCACGTCCTCGTCCACTTCCACGACCACGTCCACGTCAACGTCCACGTCCAGGTCCAGGTCCACGTCCACGTCCTCCACGTCCACGTCCACGTCCACGACCACGTCCACGTCCACGTCCACGACCTCGTCCACGTCCACGTCCACGACCACGTCCACGTCCACGTCCACGACCACGTCCACGTCCACGACCACGTCCACATCCACGTCCACGTCCACGTCCAAGTCCACGTCCACGTCCACATCCACGTCCACGACCACGTCCACGTCCACGACCACGTCCCCGTCCACGTCCACGTCCACGTCCAAGTCCACGTCCACGTCCAAGACCACGTCCAAGTCCAAGTCCACGTCCACGACCACGTCCACGTCCACGTCCACGTCCAAGTCCACGTCCACGTCCACGTCCACGACCACGTCCACATCCACGACCACGTCCACGTCCACGTCTACGTCCAAGTCCACGTCCACGTCCAGGACCACGTCCAAGTCCACGTCCACGTCCACGTCCACGTCCAGGACCACGTCCACGTCCACGTCCACGACCACGACCACGTCCACGTCCACGTCTACGACCACGTCCACGTCCACGACCACGAACACGTCCACGTCCACGACCACGTCCACGTCCACGTCCACGTCCACGTCCAAGTCCACGTCTACGTCCACATCCACGTCCACGAAAAACGTCCACATCCACGACCACATCCACGTCCACGTCCACGACCACGTCCACGTCCACGTCCTCCACGTCCACGTCCACGTCCTCCACGTCCACGTCCACGTCCACGACCACGTCCACGTCCACGTCCACGACCACGTCCACGTCCACCTCCACGTCCACGTCCAATTCCACGTCCACGTCCACGTCCATGTCCACGACCACGTCCACGTCCACGTCCACGACCACATCCACGTCCACGTCCACGAACACATCCAGGTCCACGTTCACTTCCACGTCCACGTCCAGGTCCACGTCCACGTCCACGTCCAGGTCCACGTCCACGACCACGTCCACGTCCACGTCCACCACGTCCACCACGACCACGTCCACGTCCACGTCCACGTCCATGACCACGTCCCGGTCCATGACCTCGTCCACGTCCACGTCCGCGCCCACGTCCACGTCCACGTCCACGTCCACGTCCACGTCCACGACCACGTCCACGACCACATCCACGACCACGTCCACGACCACGTCCACGTCCACGTCTACGTCACGTCCACGACCACGTCCCGTCCACCACGTCCACGTCCACGTCCACGTCCACGACCACATCCATGTCCACGTCCACGACCACGTCCACGTCCACGTCCACCACGTCCACCACGACCACGTCCACGTCCACGTCCACGTCCATGACCACGTCCACGTCCATGACCTCGTCCACGTCCACGTCCGCGCCCACGTCCACGTCCACGTCCACGTCCACGTCCATGACCATGTCCACGTCTATGACCTCGTCCACGTCCACGTCCGCGCCCACGTCCACGTCCACGTCCATGTCCAGGTCCACGTCCACGTCCAGGTCTACGTCCACGTCCATGTCCACGTCCACAACCACATCCACGTCCACGTCCACGTGCACGTCCACGTCCACGTCCACGTCCACGTCCAAGTCCACGTCCACGTCCAGGTCCACGTCCACGTCCACGTCCAAGTCCACGTCCATGTCCACGACCACGTCCACGTCCAGGTCCACGTCCACGTCCAAGTCCACGTCCACGTCCAGGTCCACGACCACGTCCAGGTCCATGTCCACGTCCAAGTCCACGTCCACGTCCAAGTCCACGACCACGTCCACGTCCAGGTCCACGTCCACGTCCACGTCAACGACCACATCCACGTCCACGATCTCGTCCACGTCCACGTCCACGTCCACGTCCACGTCCAGGTCCACATCCACGTCCACGTCCAAGTCCACGTCCACGTCCACGTGCACGTCCACGTCCACGTCCACGTCCAAGTCCACGTCCACGTCCAGGTCCACGTCCACGTCCACGTCCAGGTCCACGTCCACGTCCACGACCACGTCCACGTCCAGGTCCACGTCCACGTCCAAGTCCACGTCCACGTCCACGTCCAAGTCCACGTCCACGTCCAGGTCCACGTCCACGTCCACGTCCACGACCACGTCCACGTCCACGTCCATGTCCACGACCACGTCCACGTCCAGGTCCACGTCCACGTCCAAGTCCACGTCTACGTCCAAGTCCACGACCACGTCCAGGTCCATGTCCACGTCCAAGTCCACGTCCACGTCCAAGTCCACGACCACGTCCACGTCCAGGTCCACGTCCACGTCCACGTCAACGACCACATCCACGTCCACGACCTCGTCCACGTCCACGTCCACGTCCACGTCCAGGTCCACATCCACGTCCACGTCCAAGTCCACGTCCACGTCCACGTGCACGTCCACGTCCACGTCCACGTCCAAGTCCACGTCCACATCCAGGTCCACGTCCACGTCCACGTCCAGGTCCACGTCCACGTCCACGACCACGTCCACGTCCAGGTCCACGTCCACGTCCAAGTCCACGTCCACGTCCACGTCCAAGTCCACGTCCACGTCCAGGTCCACGTCCACGTCCACGTCCACGACCACGTCCACGTCCACGACCACGTCCACGTCCACGTCCATGACCACGTCCACGTCCACGTCCACGACCACGTCCACGTCCACGTCCACGTCCACGACCTCGTCCACGTCCACGTCCACGTCCACGTCCATGTCCACGTCCACGTCCACGACCACGTCCACGACCACGTCCACGTCCACGTCCAAGTCCACGTCCACGTCCAGGTCCACGTCCACGTCATCCACGTCCTCCACGTCTGCGTCCACGTCCACGTCCACATCCACCACGTCCACGACCACGTCCACATCCACGTCCACGTCCACGTCCACATCCACCACGTCCACGTCTACGTCCACGTCCACGTCCACGTCTACGTCCACGTCCACGTCCACGTCCACGACTACGTCCACGTCCACGTCCTCCACGTCCACGTCCACGACCACGTCCACGTCCACGTCCACGACCACGTCCACGTCCACGTCCACGTCCAAGTCCACGTCCACGTCCATGTCCATGTCCACGACCACGTCCACGTCCACGTCCACGACCACATCCACGTCCACGTCCACGAACACATTCAGGTCCACGTTCACGTCCACGTCCACGTCCACGTCCAGGTCCAGGTCCACGTCCAGGTCCAGGTCCACGTCCACCTCCTCTCCACATCCACGACCTCGTCCATGTCCACGTCCACGTCCACGTCCACGTCCACGTCCAAGTCCACGTCCACGTCCAGGACCACGTCCAAGTCCACGTCCACGTCCACGACCACGTGCACGTCCACGTCCAAGTCCACGTCCACGTCCACGTCCACGTCCACGTCCACGACCACGTCCACATCCACGACCACGTCCACGTCCACGTCCATGTCCAAGTCCACATCCACGTCCAGGACCACGTCCAAGTCCACGTCCACGTCCACGTCCAGGACCACGTCCACGTCCACGTCCACGACCACGACCACGTCCACGTCCATGTCCACGACCACGTCCACGTCCACGACCACGTCCACGACCACGTCCACGTCCACGTCCTCCACGTCCACGTCCACGTCCTCCACGTCCACGTCCACGTCCACGACCACGTCCACGTCCACGTCGACGACCACGTCCACGTCCACCTCCACGTCCACGTCCAATTCCACGTCCACATCCACGTCCATGTCCACGACCACGTCCACGTCCACGTCCACGACCACATCCACGTCCACGTCCACGAACACATCCAGGTCCACGTTCACTTCCACGTCCACGTCCAGGTCCACGTCCACGTCCACGTCCAGGTCCATGTCCACGTCCACCTCCTCTCCACATCCACGACCTGGTCCATGTCCACGTCCACGTCCACGTCCACGACCACATCCACGTCCAGGACCACGTCCACATCCACGACCACGTCCACGTCCACGTCCACGTCCAAGTCCACGTCCACGTCCACGTCCAAGTCCACGTCCACGTCCAAGTCCACGTCCACGTCCACGTCCAAGTCCACGTCCACGTCCACGTCCACGTCCACGTCCACGTCCACGACCACGTCCACATCCACGACCACGTCAACGTCCACGACCACGTCCACATCCACGACCACGTCCACGTCCACGTCCAAGTCCACGTCCACGTCCAGGACCACGTCCAAGTCCACGTCCACGTCCACGTCCAGGACCACGTCCACGTCCACATCCACGACCACGACCACGTCCACGTCCACGTTCACGACCACGTCCACGTCCACGACCACGAACACGTCCACGTCCACGACCACGTCCACGTCCACGTCCACGTCCACATCCAAGTCCAGGTCCACGTCCACGAAAAACGTCCACATCCACGACCACGTCCACGTCCACGTCCAAGTCCACGTCCACGTCCAGGACCACGTCCACATCCACGACCACGTCCAAGTCCACGTCCACGTCCACGTCCACGTCCACGTCCACGACCACGTCCACGACCACGTCCACGTCCACGTCCAAGTCCACGTCCACGTCCAGGTCCACGTCCACGTCATCCACGTCCTCCACGTCTGCGTCCACGTCCACGTCCACATCCACCACGTCCACGACCACGTCCACATCCACGTCCACGTCCACATCCACCACGTCCACGTCTACGTCCACGTCCACGTCCACGTCGAGGTCCACGTCCACGTCCACATCCACGTACACGTCCACGACAACGTCCACGTCCACGTCCACGACTACGTCGACGTCCACGTCCTCCACGTCCACGTCCACGTCCTCCACGTCCACGTCCACGTCCACGACCACGTCCACGTCCACGTCCACGTCCACGTCCACGACCACGTCCACGTCCACATCCACGTCCACGTCCAAGTCCACGTCCACGTCCACGTCCATGTCCACGACCACGTCCACGTCCACGTTCACGACCACATCCACGTCCACGTCCACGAACACATCCAGGTCCACGTTCACTTCCACGTCCACGTCCAAGTCCACGTCCACGTCCACGTCCAGGTCCAGGTCCACGTCCACCTCTTCTCCACATCCACGACCTCGTCCATGTCCACGTCCACGTCCACGTCCACGACCACGTCCACGTCCACGTCCACGTCCACGACCACGTCCACGTCCACGTCCACGTCCACGACCACGTCCACGTCCACGTCCACGTCACGTCCACGACCACGTCCCGTCCACCACGTCCACGTCCACGTCCACGACCACCTCCACGTCCACGTCCACGTCCATGACCACGTCCACGTCCACCACGTCCACCACGTCCACGTCCACGTCCACGACCACGTCCACGTCCACGACCACGTCCACGACCACGTCCACGTCCACGTCCACCACCACGTCCACGTCCACGTCCACGACCACGTCCACGACCACGTCCACGTCCACGTCCAAGACCACGTCCACGACCACGTCCACGTCCACGTCCAGGTCCACGTCCACGTCCACGACCACGTCCACGTCCACGACCACGTCCACGACCACGTCCAGGTCCACGTCCACGTCCACGACCACGTCCACGTCCACGTCCACGTCCACGACCACGTCCACGTCCACGTCCAGGTCCACGTCCACGTCATCCACGTCCACGTCCTCCACGTCCACGTCCACGACCATGTCCACGTCCACGTCCATGACCTCGTCCACGTCCGCATCCACGTCCACGTCCACGTCCAGGTCCACGTCCACGTCCACGTCCACGCCCACGACGACGTCCACGTCCATGTCCATGTGCACATCCACGTCCACATCCACGTCCAGGTCCACGTCCACGTCCATGACCACGTCCACGTCCACGACCACGTCCACGTCCACGACCACGTCCACGTCCGCGTCCACGTCCTCCTCATCCACGTCCACGTCCACGTCCACGACCACGTCCACGTCCACGTCCACAACCACGCCACGTCCACAACCACGTCCACGTCCACGTCTACGTCCACGTCCACGACCACGTCCAAGTCCACATCGACGTCCATGTCCACGTCCAAGTCCACGTCCACGTCCACGTCCACGTCCACATCCACGACCATGTCCACGACCACGTCCACGTCCACGTGTCCACGACCACATCCGCATCCACGTCCACGTCCACGACCTCGTCGACGTCCACGTCCACGTCCACGTCCACGACCACGTCCACGTCCACGACCACGTCCACGTCCACGACCACGTCCACGACCACGACCACGTCCACGTCCAGGACCACGTCCACGTCCATGTCCACGTCCAAGGCCATGTCCACGTCCACGTCCACATCCACGTCCACATCCACGACCACGTCCACGACCACGTCTACGTCCACGTCCACGTCCACGTCCAGGTCCACGTCCATGTCCACGTCCTCCACGTCCATGTCCACGTCCACGTCCACGTCCACGTCCACGTCCACATCCACGACCATGTCCACGACCACGTCCACGTCCACGTGTCCACGACCACATCCGCATCCACGTCCACGTCCACGACCTCGTCGACGTCCACGTCCACGTCCACGTCCACGACCACGTCCACGTCCACGACCACGTCCACGTCCACGACCACGTCCACGACCACGACCACGTCCACGTCCAGGACCACGTCCACGTCCATGTCCACGTCCAAGGCCATGTCCACGTCCACGTCCACATCCACGTCCACATCCACGACCACGTCCACGACCACGTCTACGTCCACGTCCACGTCCACGTCCAGGTCCACGTCCATGTCCACGTCCTCCACGTCCATGTCCACGTCCACGTCCACGTCCACGTCCACGTCCACATCCACGACCATGTCCACGACCACGTCCACGTCCACGTGTCCACGACCACATCCGCATCCACGTCCACGTCCACGACCTCGTCGACGTCCACGTCCACGTCCACGTCCACGACCACGTCCACGTCCACGACCACGTCCACGTCCACGACCACGTCCACGACCACGACCACGTCCACGTCCAGGACCACGTCCACGTCCATGTCCACGTCCAAGGCCATGTCCACGTCCACGTCCACATCCACGTCCACATCCACGACCACGTCCACGACCACGTCTACGTCCACGTCCACGTCCACGTCCAGGTCCACGTCCATGTCCACGTCCTCCACGTCCATGTCCACGTCCACGTCCACGTCCACGTCCACGACCACATCCACGTCCACGTGCACGTCGACGACCTCGTCCACGTCCACGTCCACGCTAGGCTAGGCCCCTGTTCTTGCTACTTTGCACACGCTAGGCCCCTGTTCTTCCAATTTTGCACACGCTAGGTCCTTGTTCTTGCTACTTTGCACACGCTAGGCCCTTGTTCTTCCAATTTTGCACACGCTAGGTCCTTGTTCTTGCAATTTTGCACACGCTATGCCCTTGTTCTTGCTATTTTGCATACGCTAGGCCCATCTCCTTGAAATTTTGCACACGCTAGGCCCTTGTTCTTGAATTTTTGCACATGCTAGGACCTTGTTTTTGCAATTTTGCACACGCTAGGCCCTTGTTCTTGAAATTTTGCACACGCTAGGACCCTGTTCTTGCTACTTTGCACACGCTAGGCCCTTGTTCCTTCAATTTTGCACACGCTAGGCCCTTTTTCTTCCAATTTTGCACACGCTAGGCCCTTGTTCTTCCAATTGTGCACACGCTAGGCCCTTGTTCTTCCAATTTTGCACACGCTAGGCCCTTGTTCTTCCAATTTCGCACACGCTAGGCCCTTGTTCTTGCAATTTTGCACATGCTAGGCCCTTGTTCTTGCTATTTCGCACACCCTAGGCCCTTGTTCTTCCAATTTTGCACACGCTAGGCCCTTGTTCTTGCAATTTTGCACACGCTATGCCCTTGTTCTTGCTATTTTGCACACGCTAGGCCCTTCTCCTTGAAATTTTGCACACGCTAGGCCCTTGTTCTTGAATTCTTGCACACGCTAGGACCTTCTTCTTGCAATTTTGCACACGCTAGGCCCTTGTTCTTCCAATTTTGCACACGCTAGGCCCTTGTTCTTCCAATTTTGCACACGCTAGGCCCTTGTTCTTCCAATTTTGCACACGCTAGGCCCTTGTTCTTCCAATTTCGCACACGCTAGGCCCTTGTTCTTGCAATTTTGCACACGCTAGGCCCTTGTTCTTGCTATTTCGCACACACTAGGCCCTTGTTCTTCCAATTTTGCACACGCTAGGCCCTTGTTCTTCCAATTTTGCACACGCTAGGCCCTTGTTCTTCCAATTTTGCACACGCTAGGCCCTTGTTCTTCCAATTTTGCACACGCTAGGCCCTTGTTCTTCTAATTTTGCACACGCTAGGCCCTTGTTCTTCCAATTTTGCATACGCTAGGCCCTTGTTCTTCCAATTTCACACACGCTAGGCCCTTGTTCTTGCAATTTTGCACACGCTAGGCCCTTGTTCTTGCTATTTCGCACACACTAGGCCCTTGTTCTTCCAGGTTTGCACACGCTAGGCCCTTGTTCTTCCAATTTTGCACACGCTAGGCCCTTGTTCTTCCAATTTTGCACACGCTAGGCCCTTGTTCTTCCAATTTTGCACACGCTAGGCCCTTGTTCTTCCAATTTCTCACACGCTAGGACCTTGTTCTTGCAATTTTGCACACGCTAGGCCCTTGTTCTTGCTATTTCGCACACGCTAGGCCCTTGTTCTTCCAATTTGGCACACGCTAGGCCCTTGTTCTTGCTATTTTGCACACGCTAGGCCCTTGTTCTTGAAAGTTTGCACATGCTAGGCCCTTGTTGTTGCAATTTTGCACACACTAGGCCCTTTTTCTTGCTATTTCGCACACTTTAGGCCCTTGTTCTTCCAATTTTGCACACGCTAGGCCCTTGTTCTTCCAATTTTGCACACGCTAGGCCCTTGTTCTTCCAATTTTGCACACGCTAGGCCCTTGTTCTTCCAATTTTGCACACGCTAGGCCCTTGTTCTTCCAATTTTGCACACGCTAGGCCCTTGTTCTTCCAATTTCACACACGCTAGGCCCTTGTTCTTGCAATTTTGCACACGCTAGGCCCTTGTTCTTGCTATTTCGCACACACTAGGCCCTTGTTCTTCCAAGTTTGCACACGCTAGGCCCTTGTTCTTCCAATTTTGCACACGCTAGGCCCTTGTTCTTCCAATTTTGCACACGCTAGGCCCTTGTTCTTCCAATTTTGCACACGCTAGGCCCTTGTTCTTCCAATTTCGCACACGCTAGGCCCTTGTTCTTGCAATTTTGCACACGCTAGGCCCTTGTTCTTGCTATTTCGCACACGCTAGGCCCTTGTTCTTCCAATTTGGCACACGCTAGGCCCTTGTTCTTGCTATTTTGCACACGCTATGCCCTTGTTCTTGAAATTTTGCACATGCTAGGCCCTTGTTGTTGCAATTTTGCACACACTAGGCCCTTGTTCTTGCTATTTCGCACACTTTAGGCCCTTGTTCTTCCAATTTTGCACACGCTAGGCCCTTGTTCTTCCAATTTTGCACACGCTAGGCCCTTGTTCTTCCAATTTTGCACACGCTAGGCCCTTGTTCTTCCAATTTCGCACACGCTAGGCCCTTGTTCTTGCAATATGGCACACGCTAGGCCCTTGTTATTGCTATTTCGCACACGCTAGGCCCTTGTTCTTCCAATTTTGCACACGCTAGGCCCTTCTTCTTGCAATTTTGCATACGCTATGCCCTTGTTCTTGCTATTTTGCACACGCTAGGCCCTACTCCTTGAAATGTTGCACACGCTAGGCCCTTGTTCTTGAATTTTGGCTCACGCTAGGACCTTGTTCTTGCAATTTTGCACACGCTAGGCCCTTGTTCTTCCAATTTTGCATACGCTAGGCCCTTGTTCTTCCAATTTTGCACATGCTAGGCCCTTGTTCTTCCAATTTTGCACACGCTAGGCCCTTGTTCTTCCAATTTCGCACATGCTAGGCCCTTGTTCTTGCAATTTTGCACATGCTAGGCCCTTGTTCTTGCTATTTCGCACATGCTAGGCCCTTGTTCTTCCAATTTTAAACACGCTAGGTCCTTGTTCTTGCAATTTTGCACACCCTAGGACCTTGTTCTTGCAATTTTGCACATGCTAGGCCCTTGTTCTTGAAATTTTGCACACGCTAGGCCCTTGTTCTTCCAATTTTGCACACGCTAGGCCCTTGTTCTTCCAATTTTGCACACGCTAGACCCTTGTTCTTGCAATTTGGCACACGCTAGGACCTTGTTCTTGCTATTTCGCACACGCTAGCCCCTTGTTCCTCCAATTTCGCACACGCTAGGCCCTTGTTCTTGCAATTTTGCACACGTTATGCCCTTGTTCTTGCTATTTTGCACACGCTAGGCCCTTCTGCTTGAAAGTCTGCACACGTTAGGCCCTTGTTCTTGAATTTTTGCACACGCTAAGACCTTGTTCTTGCAATTTTGCATACGCTAGGCCCTTGTTCTTGAACTTTTGCACACGCTAGGCCACTTTTCTTGCTACTTTGCACACGCTAGGCCCTTGTTCTTCCAGGTTTGCACACGCTAGGCCCTTGTTCTTCCAATTTTGCACACGCTAGGCCCTTGTTCTTCCAATTTTGCACACGCTAGGCCCTTGTTCTTCCAATTTTGCACACGCTAGGCCCTTGTTCTTGCAATTTTGTACACGCTAGGCCCTTGTTCTTGCTATTTTGCACACGCTAGGCCCTTGTTCTTGCTATTTTGCACACGCTAGGCCCTTGTTCTTGCAATTTTGCACACGCTAGGCCCTTGTTCTTGAAATTTTGCACATGCTAGGCCCTTGTTCTTGCTATTTCGAACACGCTAGGCCCTTGTTCTTGCTATTTCGCACACGCTAGGCCCTTGTTCTTCCAATTTTGCACATGCTAGGCCCTTGTTCTTGCTATTTTGCACACGCTAGGCCCTTGTTCTTGAAATTTTGCACATGCTAGGCCCTTGTTCTTGCAATTTTGCACACACTAGGCCCTTGTTCTTGCTATTTCGCACACTTTAGGCCCTTGTTCTTCCAATTTTGCACACGCTAGGCCCTTGTTCTTCCAATTTTGCACACGCTAGGCCCTTGTTCTTCCAATTTTGCACCCTCTAGGCCCTTGTTCTTCCAATTTTGCACACGCTAGGCCCTTGTTCTTCCAATTTCGCACATGCTAGGCCCTTGTTCTTGCAATTTTGCACACGCTAGGCCCTTGTTCTTCCAATTTCGCACACGCTAGGCTCTTGTTACTGCAATTTCGCACACGCTAGGCCCTTGTTCTTGCTATTTCGCACACGCTAGGCCCTTGTTCTTCCAAGTTTGCACACGCTAGGCCCTTGTTCTTGCTATTTTGCACACGCTAGGCCCTAGTCCTCGAAATTTTGCACACGCTAGGCCCTTGTTCTTGAAATTTTGCACATGCTAGGCCCTTGTTCTTGAAATGTTGCACACGCTAGGCCCCTGTTCTTGCTACTTTGCACACG